ATGATAAACAGCAGGAGGTAATAAACTTCTAAAAAATAATTTATGCAAATATTCCTACCTCCTTCCTATCAATACAATTTCCATACAAAAATGGAGCTTGTCAACAGCTCTCTTAGCTTTTTGCTACTTCTAGAGGTTTTGATAACAATAATGGGCTTCATTTGGCCATCATGATTGCACCATAGCTGAATTTGGCTCCTGATCTCTTAATATGCAAACTGTTGTTTGAATCCTGTAATTCCATGTTGAATTGCTGTTTAGATCCAGAGATTGCATCATTCTCACACGTACAAACAGTGAGTCTCTAGGGCTTCTGACTACTCTTCCCTTCACCCACAGTGCTGTAATAATGATATATTTAAATGAGCTGTCTGCAAAGTACAGGTTCTTAAAACAAATTAACAATATTGTTTAGAGGCAGCGGTAAGGTAGGCAGGCAAGAAAAATATTTAGGGAATGGTCTGCAAAATATACCATGGGAGTGAATGGCGTTGTAAGACCTGCTGCTACCTGGATCTAGAAAAGCTCTTCTCTTTCCTTCTGCGTACTTGCTCCAGGTTATTCTGAGAACTGAGAGAAGACTCGGCAAGAAGGGAAGTAGGATGCTGCTATTAATTCTCACTGTGGGATTTTTATTCCACCGCTTCAGGAAAATTACAACTAAGGCAAGTTAACAGGGGCCTCAATGAATCTGAGAGGCAAGGGCAAGAAAGAAGGCAAGAGGAAAAAAATATGCACCTTTTAGTGGCCCAGTACATCTTTCTGCCCTGCTGATTTGTCAGCATTTCTGGCTGAAGAAGGGGGAGCAGCCCCAGACAGTCTGTGAAAGGTGTAGTGACTTCAGTCCGCAGGATGGCAATGCCTGATTCCAGGGAGCATGCTGTTTGTGCAGTTCTGCTTAATAACCACCCCTTCCCTGACACAAGTGACTTTGTGTGTAGCTCTGTAAGAGACTGTTTATCCAGAGGACAGGTAAGGGGTTTCTAGGAAATTGTATTTTACTGGTGATTTACACTCTGAGCACAAGCGCAAATAGTGCGCTCGCTTGGTGGTGTTGAAGTAGCTGCTGCTTGTGGCTATTTGTAAGTAGGTATGTAAGATTTGCTTAATTTCAGGGTAATTGCTTCACAAAGCATCCTGTAGTGTGTTTATTAGGCCAAGCTTTCATTAGATTCTTTGGGGAATTTATATTAAAAAAGGTTGGGCATTTCCAGGGAGCACAGGTTTTTATTAAATGGAAAAGGAATCAAATAAGAAGCCCAATTAGCTGAACAAGTATGATCTCTGAAGCTACCACAGTCAGGGAATCCGTCTTTTAGCAAGATGCAAATCTGTCTCCTGTGCTTTTAATAGTCTTAAATATAGAATTCAGTATTAGGACAGGTGAGAAGGTGCTTACTGATTAGTCCTCCTACGAGTAGGGGACTACTTCCAATACAGTATTGCCATGGTGTCCCCATTATTTTTACTGTTAACTGTTATGCTCCTTGTTCTGATTTTTTTATTAAGCTGAGGGCTATACATGTCTTATGTTCATCTCAAGGGAGTTTTAGATTTGAAATCAGGATAATTCACAGTTACTTGGATATTTAAGACACACTTTGATGTTTACACAATCAAAGCTGTACTTGATGGTCTGTGGTAGTGAGTCTAATACATAGTTCTGACCTGTCTGTGTGCGTCTCACTGCAAGTCTATCCCTGGAACAACACTGATTTCAGTCGCATAACTTGGATCTAATATCTGGGAAAAAAATTGTTCTATGGCATCCAGGGCATCACTTTAGATATCCCGTAATATTAATCAGCAGTAACGTCATCTACCTCCAAAATCATGACTGTTCCATATTTCTTAATACCAATGCATTTCTCAGTACATATAAGGAGGCTTTTGTGCAGAACTGAAATCCGGGTATGATATATGTTTTCTTAGGATGAAAATTATTGAAGTTTTCATTAAATACATTTAAAAACATTAAAAATATGGTCTTGCCCATTGTCAAATTAATGTATTCTTTATACAATGTATTTTGTACTTTGCTGGTTTGTAATAAATTAGCAGAATTTAAAGTTTACATGAACATGCTTGAGGCCATAAGCATTCTGTTAAGTATCATTCAGTTGGTATAATTTGATTTAACATTCCGCACTGACTGAATAGTGTTGGAAATAATGAAATAGTAACTTCAATATTAACTTTTTTTACCTTATGTGGTGTGTCGACAGAAGTTGTCCTTGCTATGGCAAAGCCCTGAGCGCTGCTTTTGTTTCCCAGTAAGCAGCCGTTCCCAGAAGTGTTTTGTGTAAGACTGTGTGGGAGTTGAGGATTTCTTACTTCAGAAAGTAACCTGTTGATAATTGCCCCCTTGGTCAATTTGCGGCGTATGATGTCATCTCAGTATGGAGGTTTTCTCCCTGTATTAGCCAGATCAGGAACTGGCAGTGCTTGGGCAATGCTGTTATGGGAGTAAGAAGCTGGTGCAGAGTCTCAAAGGGCTGGAGGCGATTCCCTGTAAAGTCAGTAGATGGTTTCCTATTGACTGCACACAGAATTAGAGCATGTTCAGTGAGACTTATCTGAGAAGCTGCTTGCAAAGTAGATATTTTGCTTCCTAGCTTATCAATTGAAATGCATCAGTCATTTTATTTCTGCTGCTGTTGTAACTGTGTCGCTTTGTAAGGTGCTCACAGGCAAACGTGAAAACTGTTTCACCTTTTAGGAATTAGCACTACAATTCTCTGGTGCTTGTAGTTTGCACCACTTACAAGGAGTAGGAGGGCACTGTCTGTATAACACATCTTAGGCACTGCAGTGCTCCTACTGTTTTTATGTTTCTCTAGAGAACTGAGCTGTTAACAGATACCTAAAAGACACACACAACCATAATTTGGGAAGGCATGGAGAGGTTTCAGTGTGACTAATAGAAAATCATTCTGTTTTCCTAGGGTGTAACATATGAAGGTCATTAGCTGCAAATATTGTAGGTAAATAAGATACTTTTTCAGCTGCGCACCTTATATTAAGGATGCAAAATAGAGGAAGAGTTTAAAAGACTTCTACAGCTTTCTGCTATCATGAGCATTTTTATCAGATGAATTTTTAGTCTCTTTGTAACTCCTGTCACCAGAACACACTTAAACAAGACTCAAGTTGTATGCCCAGAAGATGAGCGAAGCATTGGCAGTTGCTTGCATTGCCCTTTCCCCTAGGGTGACTTGTAGCTGAGTAGCCCAGGCACTTGTGGATCCCGCCTGTTCCTTCTCACGTCTACATGAACACTCGGGGTTGTACAAAATGCACACTTAAACAAGTATAAGGTAGACTATAGTCTGCTACTTGGGCCCCCATATCACAGTTCTGTTCTAAATGCAACCTCAGAAAATAGTAAACAATATACTTTTGCTTTTATAACAAGATTTGGGCTAAAAAAACCTAAAGCTCATGAAAGCTGTTCTTAGTAACATGTCCTCTTCAAAGGAAATGTAACAGAACTCAAAGTTTCTTCAAAACATTTATGAATGAAAGTGAACGTATTCAGACATCTGACTGCATAGTGCTTTTGTCAGAAAAGGGTTTGGGGTTTGTGTGTCCCTGTCAATGTAATGTGCTGCTGTTGAAATAACAGCAGCCCAGTTCTGAAAATGGGAGACATTCAGGGTTAGAATTGTGCACCTGGCCGCAGGAGTCATGTCCCAAGGGCAGGTAATACTAAGCACCTGGAAAACATGAGAGTCTCTGATAACTGTCTAATGTGAAGGGTAATAGACATCTTAAGATTTAATTAATCTACAGGCCACTCTCCTTATTCAAAAATAATTTTAGTTAAGGAAAAGAGCACATTGAACATTGTCAGTCCAGTGGAAAGTTGTCATTGATCTTGCTTTTAAAATCTTGCTTTAAGTGTGTTTGCATCATTTAGTCATGGAAAATATTGCTGTTAGTTGTCATAAACAGATCACTTGGCAAGGTGAGCATAGCACTGAAATTCTGTTCTCAACAGAATGGAAAAACTTAGATCAAAAAAGACTTGATAAGGTAAAAATAGACTGACACTCTACCACCATCTCTAAAGGACTGGATTTACATCTACAGTAGTTTTACAGAAATGTGGTCAGAATCATGCACACTCCCTTTCAAAAAAAAAAAAAGAAAAAAAAAAGGCACTAGACCTTCTAGAAAAATGTAAGTCCTAGCCCAAGAAGTATAGGAATAAAATAGCGGAGGTGCAAAAATGCAGATATACAGTTATGAACACCTTTCTGAACTGTTAGTTCTCAGCCCAGGCAAACGCTAAGATTCATCCCCGTTGCACTCAGTAGCTAATGAAGGTGGAGTCAGGTTTTGCTGCTCGCTTTGCTTTGCTTTGCTTTAGGGATGATGATGTTCTGGCACCTGTGGATTTGTTGTAACAGATGGTTTGCAATTCTGCCTTCTATTTATGAAACAACTTTTTATCCTTTACCTTTATTCTGACTTGTTGCTTCTGCTAGCAGCATGTTACTCCTCTTTCATTTCACTTGGATAGCATGCTGCGCTGTAGAACTAGTATTAGGCAATGTGTGTTTTATGCTTTGATACACCTTTGGTAATGTAAAGCTGGTCTAGAAGAGCTGTAGCAAGTATCAGAAAGCACAGGTAGATCTGTAACAAGGGAATAGAGTTTAAAGTGCAGCTCAGTTTTTATCAAAGCTGTAAGCCCTAATGAATTCCTGGGAATTTAGACATGCAGATATCATTGATAAATACTGAAATAAGTCGACTGTACTATAGTGCATTTCTAGGGATTTTGTTGCTTTGTGTTTCTTTCCTATGTATTGAACTAGATCTAGCCACAAGTAACTTACGGCTTGAAGAATGCCTTAGTTTCCTGGAACTAAGGGTGTCCAAGTGATGTAAAAATGCCAGGGATACTGAAGTGTGGTTTATATAATTTCCTGGTTCACGTGGCTGGTGTGTGTTTATTTGTGGTGTGTGTTTGTTTGTTTGTTTTTTAAATTCAGGTATCCTTTCCTGCCCTGTGTGCAAACAGACCTGCTTTGCAAGGGATGTAGTTGAAAATTTCTTTCTCAAGGACTTTCCCACTGGTAATTCAGCTATGGCAAAGGTAAGTGAAAACCACTAATTTGGGTGCTTTGTGAATTGTTGAAACAGTAGCAGATGAACACTGTTTGAAAACAGAGCAAACTTCACCTTGAGCAACAGACTGTCTTACAGTTTGCTTATGCAGCACTGTAATTACTTCACTCCTAGAGACAGACACACTGCCTTCATAATACTTTTTAAACTTTATTTGAATAATAAGTTTGACTCTATATACTTAAAATAGAATAGATTAAAAAGTATTGATAGTAGTGGTGTAGGACTGGATCTGTGACAATCAGTATATTAGGAAGATACTGAATCTCTTGGATTTCTCATTGTCCCTTTTCTGCTCTCAACACAAAGTAAACAGAAGCAGACTATTGGCTGAACAATTACATTAAGATTACACATTAGATCCTGTGGACAATTATAATTTTCTGATTGTCTGGTTTAATGACAAAAAAGGTCACATCATATTTCAGTTTCCCATTGGGGAATGGATGCAAAGGGTACTTGGAAGGCATATGGTTACTACCTTGGCCTTCTATTGACACCATACACAGATGGATTTCACTTCTGTTAAATACCCTGTTAACAGGCAGGACTATTCTCACAGTTTTTTAGTTGTTACTACTTTGGGTTGTGAGGAGGGACAGAGAAAGGTGTGTATTTCTGCCCCCTCTGTTATAAAACAGTATTCTGTTATTTGAATGAGTAAGATAGATTTCAGAATGTGGTAGCATTAACTGTAGCTGGGAGATAAAACAGGTGAAAACTTGTCAAAACTATTCTGTAATCTGCTGACTGCTTTATGCAAAGTGTGATCCAAAGCAAGGGAAGAGTAACAAAGAAGCAAACATACTGGGCTTCACCTTCTGAACCAGCTCCTGGACATCAGTCTGTCTCTTTTGCTCTTTTGATTCCCAAATAAACCGGATAGCCACATCAGATATTCAGTTTCAGGGCCTTTGGGTGGAGGGGAACACTTTTTCCATAATGTAGGACAGAAGATATGTTCTTTCCACTCCTCAGCTCCCGTAGGGGCAGCAACAATTTGTACATCAGTTCTGTCCCTTGCACAAGGTTTGAGACTGCTTTAATCTGTGCAAGTGACTTGCCCAGTGACACTGTTGAGAAAAAGTATAGAGGGGATGTACTTCTTCCCTGTCAGGCACTTTCTCCATCGTTAGAAAGAAAAGAACGTGTAACCTAGTCCATGTAGTGTTCTGGGGAAATTAAAAAATTAATGCAAGCAAAGTGTGTTGGCATCTTCAGGTGTAAGGTGCTTGAAGAATGCAACATAGCTTTATCTAAAACAGGAGGAGATCTATTCACATGCAGTCTTCAAAGAGAAGAGGAAAATTCATAGGATATTGCTGAATGTTTAGAATGCACTTATTATACTGGGATTTCCTAATTACCATGACTCACATCATTTACCTTTCAATGAGAATTTGTGTAGAAAGGAAATCAAATGAGAATATCTAATGTCTTCAAAAGGACTAGATTATTTTTTCAAACCTTCTTTAACAGAAGATTTTTCTTTTCTGTAATCCCTTAAGAGTCCTAAGAACAGTTCAGTAAAACAGATTTCTCACTGGAGCATAGGAGTACCCTAGAGGGACTCACAAACCTTCCTCATAGTTTTTGGCTTATTTCCTTTTCATTAACAGTCAAGTCATGTATCAGTGAAGCTTGCTTACTGTCTTTTAACCACCAGCCCCGGCCCCCCTCCCAAACTAAAGCCATCGTTTCACCATCAGTGATATCAAAAGGAGAAACATCAGCTCATCCAACCGAGATGCGGCTGAATTGCCATAATTTTCTTAATTTACCTACTATGTTCAAATGGGAATCTGGCAAGGCTTGTAACAAAATGTTTGGAAGCAAGATATTTCTCAGTGTATGAGATAGTGAAGCATAAATGATATAATGTGCTATATACCAGCAGCAAGATTTTCAAAAATATGTAATTCAGAATCTCTTGCCCAAAAGCCCATTTTCACATCATAAATAATGTAATTCTGGGAACACTCTGTGCTCTGCAACTTAAAAGTACTGTTAGCACAGTACAGTGTCAATGTAAGTTCTAGTCAGACTGACAGCTGAACAGTTACAGGTAAACCTGTGATTAAGTAGTTTTAGTTATTACAGAGAAGGCAAAGCATCCCTCAACTTTTGACCTGTTGCCTAAGCTGGCCCTTCATGGGTACATTTCATATGAAACACTTCTTTTTATATAACAAGCTTTGCTTCCCAGAATAAATACCTCTGCATTTTGGTTATATAAGTTATATTGGGCTTTTTTTGGTTTAAATTATTACACGTACCTTTTGGAAAGCGTTGTTGATAAGCAAATGGCTGAAATAGCAGAATGACTTGCATAATACTTCCCTGCCTAGAAAATCAAACACATTTAAAACTTTGCTTTGTTGTCTTATTGTCAAGAATTGCCCGATCTCTTTGAAAAAGATTGGAAATACTTAGAAACTCTTGAACAGTGAGTTGATAAGAGACCTGTTGTGAAGTTCCAGCCTCACTGAAGGGAACAGTAAAATTTAAAGTAATTTCAGAAGAACAAAAATTTTTCTTCTTGTGCTGAAGTGAATCAGAACTTGATTCACTTGTGTCTCAGAACTTAGGTGGATATAGATGTTCCACTTAATGTTAAAGCCATGATTTAAAACTAAGGCCACCAGCAAAGAACGGTGATTGTTCTTCCTTCAGGCTTTCTATTCCCTGAGACACTGCAAAGAGAAACTCTTCTATTAAATTCACCAAGACTTGCATCAGGGCTTATGTGCTGAGTGCATGCTGATATATCCTTCTCTTCATGTTTCCCATCAGAATAGTTGGGATGCAATCATAACTGAACTGAATTGAAGATAAACTGATGCCCAACAGAAGGGACACCATAGGAAGTAATTTTGCCATCTATTACTAGTTGCTTGAGTAGCCCTGAGTAGTAGCAATATTCAGGAACTATGCATAAGTAGAGTAGATATATTGTAATCTTGTAGGAAATGTTTGAGTTTGATAAACTGGTGGCAAAGCTTTTATGCTTTGATAAAATTACATCACTATGTTCACTCTGCCCATTAGTACCTCTTTGTGGCTATGATAAGTCAAGAACATTGATATTAGGAGTTTTCACACAAGGTATTTTATGCCTAGTGCAAATCCTTTTTAAAAGAAATGTCATTATAGCTATCTTGAAACAACTCTTGAGTTAATTCTGGATACCGAAGATAAATTACCCACTTCATTTACATGCTGCTTTATTCATTTCCTCTTTAGTGACACTTCCAGACAGCATGGCCTATATAACAAAGGGCATTTCCTAAATTGTTGAATCAATAGAGATGATAGTTAATTGCGGTTTCCAGGTCTTCTCATGTTCCCATATCTTATGTTTCCGGTTCACCACATGTGATATCAATATATAAATTGATCTAATTTCTGGTCAGCTCTTGAGAGAATAGGAACAAAAGTTTTTCATTAGTAGTATATGGGTGTCCCCATATTGTTTTCTAAATTGCCTTACCATTGGCATGTTTTATGTATTTTTCTGACAGTTACACTGTATCAGGATGGTTCATACAATGCTAAAGCAAATAGAGTAAGCTCTAATTTTAAATAAAGCAATGTAGATTTAGAGTAGCTCTGCTGAAGTAGCTCCAGTTTACGTTTATATACATGAAAGCAGAAGTGGATTCTAGCCTATAGAATTTTTTAGTTTGTTAATAAGTAATTAGTAGTGGACAGAAAATAATGAATGACACTGAAATGATACAGCAAAATCCTTCTGCATAATGTTGTGATTAGAAAGGAAACGGTAGTTAAAGAACTTTTTGATGGGGTATGTTTGACTCTAACATTTCACATATTTACTTGGCAACCTAGACTATCTTTTCTCAGGTAGAAATACCTATGTCTAAATATATATATATAAAAGTAAGGTGTATACTCTTTCGATGTGTTATTGCCATCAGTAAGTAGTACAACACTAACAGAAAGGGATTACGAAGCACACCAGTCATTTTCAACAGTAACTTTTAACCTAAGCCTCCTTAATTGAAATCAGACAAGTCTTATTTCATAGTTTCATGGCTTTTTCAGTTCACAAGAAACAAGTCATTATGATTATTTCTTCTGACTTCACGTGTAACATGGACCCTAGAATTTTGCTGAATGATTCTTGCATCATGTCATAATTATGCTTGATTGTGCTAGAGCACAGAAAGACAACCAATTCAAGAGCTTCAAATCTTAATTTCATTCTGTTCCCTTTTACAGCAATAATCAGACTCTTAAAATCACTTGGATTGCATTAGTTTGAGACAGAAAAATATTAAGCTTACCAATCTGAATCATAGTCTATTAAAGATAAGTTTGTACGGCTAATTTGTTATCTTTGTGTGTAATTGCACTTTCTGTTCTTAGAGCTGCTCCACGTGTAAAGAGAAGAGACCTGCTCACAGTCTCTGTACAAGCTGCAATAAGTGGTTGTGCAGCTCATGTACAGAGGAACACAGACATAGCAAGGAAACTGGGGACCGCTTCCTGTCTGTATCCCTGAAGGGCTGCACAGGTACTGAAGATACACTTTGAAATTTTGTTTCTTCTCATATCAGTTATTCAGTTGAAAAAGGAGCAGTTGCAGCCTCTGTGCCACAGACACCATGCATGCTCTGTGTGCGTGAGTCAGAGGATATCTATATGTCAATGAGAGATGATGTGATTTTTCTATAACTTTAGGGCCATTGCCACAACCAGCATTCCACAGTATTTGAAAAATTTTGGACATTTATGTTTCACAGAGACTACCTTTTCCACATGCCTTTTCAGTCTGCAGAGTGATGGGCTAGGCTACAACAGCAGCAGGCCTTGCCCTTTCAGTACTTCTGTCCTCTTTTGGGTAATTTCCTTCAGGAAACTACCATAAAGCAATTCCTGTGCTTATTGACAAGGTGTGGGAGGGAGAGTCACAGACAGCAACAGGCTGTGATCACTATAGGATGTTCCTTTTCTAAGCCTGGAATGAAAAACGTGGCTCCTGAGTGTGACCACTATATTGCCATCAGCAAGCACAAATTAAGCCCGCTGGCAAACATGTCTCATCCCTATACAATGATGATCCACAGAAAGGATTATCATCTCTTATTACTGCTCATTATTTTCTTTACTTATATGCCAGAAATCTGCTGAGGAGTATGCTAACCTAAACTTATGTAAGCAATTTGTAACCTAAAAGAAGAGTTTTGCAATTTTATACAATGATTTAAGTTTACACTTTGCTCACATACGAAGTTATTTGTGCTAGAGAGTTTGTGCTGTACTATCATTCTTCTTGCTAAGGAAGATGAAGGACAGAACAAGGAATAAACATAGGTGTAGCCCACTGATTAGACTTTTTTTTGGCTTTAGGATTTTGCTTGTAGAAGCCTATACTTTATGCTTGCCATAGATGGAGTTCTTTTAGGTCCTGGGTGTTCATATCAAACAGGGTTTGAGGCCCTTGAGACATGATATGCCGTTGCCAAATAGAGTGTAAATAAACAAAAAAAAAGCTGTAAGAATAGTAATAATAAAAAAACACAGATGGCATTTAAATGTTTTCTGGGTCTTTTCTAGAGAATAATATAAACTGAAGTCCCCCTAGTCCTCCCCCAAATGCCCTGATTGGATGGACAATCTTGAATTGATGGCAAGATAAGGACTGTGGTCTTGAGGCTCCAACTGTTTATAATTTCCTTTCACTTTGAGTAAGATTACCTGCTCATATTGTTGACCAATAATGGTAAGAAAATATACCTGTGGCTTAGTTGTGGTTTTGTGAGTGCTGTATAAATAAAAAGATGCAAACACATAACTAAAATACTTTCTCATCTTTCATACTAAGTTCTGTGTGCTGAAAAAAATGAACAAGGAGCTTGGTAGTGTATATATAGGCTAGTTAATCTAAAAAATTATTTGGGATGTAATCTGTGCTTTTAAAATTATTATCATTAATGTATATATTATTTATTTAGGACACAGATATCCCCTCAGGATATTTCAAAGAAAGCAAATACTAGGATATACTAGAACTCAGGCTGATTTTTTTTTTTTTTTCTTTTCTGGAAATAAAGCATCTTCTGCTTTCAGATTCAGTAGCCACCTTCAGTCTGTATGTGGTGCTTCTGAACAACAGCTACCTTCTTTGTAGGCCCTTGTAACCACTAAGAGACTTCTCTATCCCATTGACCTTGCACCTTTAAACTCCTCAATCTTTTGCCATTTGCTTTACAAGGGCCAGAATTTCTGTAAGATTCCATGGGTCTGAAATGAAGTAAAGTAGAAAAAAAAAAACCACCACCAAACACATTGAATCCTGCCTATTCCTATTGATTTTGATAAACAATTTCTTCTTTGAGTGACAGAACTAAAGGAACCTGGCTTACCTGGGAAACATTTCTTTCTTCTGCTTCTTCCTTCATGATAGCTGTGCTCCATGTAACACATCTGATCACTCCCTGCCATGCAGAACCTGCAGCCCTCTGTCACTGTTCCCCATCCACTTATCCTGCACATCCTCTTGGTTCCTTCCTGGGCCATCGACTGCCTACTTGGTGAGACCCAGCTCACGCAGCTGAACGGCTGAGCTGGCTGCCAGGCAGCACCCTTAGCCTGGTGACTCCTGAGATCATGCTGCACACCAGTGTGCCAAATTCATGTGACTGGTTTGTACTGGTTAGATTTCATTGGTTTGAACATGGTTATTGAGAACTGGAATGGGACGTTATGGGAGTCATCTGTGTCACAGTTGTTTAGCCAAAAACTGTTACCGAGCTCCTACATTGAAAAACAGACCTTATTTTTTAAGCATAAAACCAAATAAATAGCACACACTGGACATCACTTTGATCCGCCTCCCCCCCAGTTTCCCAGTAGTATTTATGTGTTGTATGGTTGCTCAGGTGTATTCTTGTTAGCTGAACCACTTCTAGAGGTACTATCAAAAATTCCAGTTCTCTTGTGAGTGCCAGACTATTACTACTGGTTATGAGTATAGGGAGATGCTGAGATGTGGTTCACAGATGGGTTAAACTACACTACTTGCAGTTTTTCACAGACACTGATTTTTCCTGACAGTCAAAAAAAAAAAAAAAAGCAACCCAAAAACCCCCTGAAAATGTTCTGGATCTGTGACCACAAGATGTGAAAACGTTGAAATCTGCTTCTGGAATGAATTTACTGAGTGCTGGAGTACTAGGTACTGGAAACACAGGCCAAAGCTTTATGACAGATTAAGCAGCAGTCTTGGAGGAATAGTCGCTGAAGAACAAACCTTTCACTGGAGGGCTCTGCATTAGCACTAGGAATAAGTGAACTTTGTTAAGTTCAAATTTCTGCAGAGCTCTCAAACTGTTTAAAGTCATAAACCCAGGATTTCTTCCTCCCCTAGTCTCAACTTTCTTAAAAGGACATTCAGTATCAGTACAGACTCTTTCCTTGTTAAGTGGAAATCTGTGCTTTGCAATTGAGTAGAAACAATCCTTTTGCCAAAACTGTTAGAAGTAAATGACCTGGTACTGACATACCAACTATTTGTAGGCTACTGCACAAACTGAAAGATTTTCTCTTTGCTATACTATCCTTTTCTTTTGGTCTCTCAAGGTTCAGCATGGACCTATAAAATCAAAGTTTGAGTCATTGTGAATTATGCAGGTTGAGGGAGGACTCTTATTAGCCAAGATGAGATTGCTTTTCTAAAGTTGGCATCAACTGGTCAGAGGAACAGAGATTTAAAACTTTCTGTCAATTATTCAAGAGATCCACCTGAAATAAAGAAAATATAGGCTGTAGAAAATGGTGACTCAAATGATGTTAATTCAGAATTTAGGGCAACTGAACTTTTCCTGTACTTCAAGTGAGGTTCTTTTCAAGAAGCTAACATGGATAGTTGTGGTCAAAATGTCTTTTCTTAGAAAAAACAGGCTTATGCCTTTGTTTACCATCTGAATTGTAAGAATTAAACTTATGTTAAAACTGAAGAGTGTAGCTCTGAGCTGAGTATAAAGTAGGTTAAGAATACCATGACTCAGTGGCAGTTTGCACTGATGTGTCAGGTGAATCAGGGAATTACTAGTGGCAGAGGCTGTGGGTCTGTGTTGTAATTAGATAACGTTGATTTTTATCCTTAGTTTGCATTTGAAATCTGCTTGTCTCTTAAATCTGACACAGTACTAAAAACCTCACTGATTTCTCTGGGATGTTTCCAGTCTCCCAAAGGCTAAAGAACCCTTCAGAGAGAGAAAAAAAGAGAAATCATTATATAAGATTGTTACTAGGCTTCATTATACTTGGACCTTAAAGACTGCATCTCATTATAAGTTGGAGTTTACTATTAAAAATTTGATCCTGAGTTTTCAGAGAAACAGCTTGCATGCTCTGCAGGTGCTGAACACTTAGAGAGTTTTTTCCAACTTATGAAAATTGAGATAGTTATTATGGACTTTTTATTTTTCTTTAAAAATATAATATCTGCCTGCACAGGGGAGGAACAGATGATCTTCAACATCCACCTTGGTTATATATTGATGATATAACCTACTTGGTCATTTATTACTTGCATTGTCAGCTGCAGGTTTTAATATGAAAGTAGATGTTTGCAGTATAATCAGAAAAAAATTGCTGTCAAGGTGAGTTCAGTTTGTGCCCTGATAGAAAAAAAATATTGGAGTGGGCTAAAAAACCCTCTGATCCAATTTCCTCTTTTAATAATTCTGTCTGTTAGCATTTGGTTCAGTAATAATATAAAACAATAAACATTCCTGAAGAATAAAACATGATACTGTAGTAAATAATTCATAACAATATAAACCATGTAATGCTGTTACATAAAAATCTTGGTCTAATCTATCACAAATTGTATTCTTGCGCATTATGTTAAGAAGGTGGAGGGGAAAGTCAATTGAACTGGAGGAAGTAAATCGACCATCTCAGAAATATTTAGAGAAGATAGCTATCTATAAAGTAGGAAATTTGGGATATTTTCTTTAGAGCATGGCATGGATTTTCTCCATATTTTCATTCTCTTTGTCAGCCATCAGATTTTCTTAGCCTTTCTACTTCTATATTGTGCATTTTCCAATTGGAAAATAAAGTGACTGAATTAGCATAGCTTGCTGTGCACTGTGTGTCTGTGTTATTGCAATAGTATCAGTTCAGAGGCTTGGTTCTATAAGGGGCTTCATTTTGCTACAGGATGAAAGCATGGTCCCTGCCACAAGTTGTTTTTTTAAAAAATAAGTTGTTTTTTAAAAAAAAGCAAGATAAATTTGATGTGGAAAAATCGAAATATTTTTCTCATTTTATATGAGCAAATAATAATATATAAATAAGTAGTGTTTTGATTTCATTTAAAGTTTGTATCAATAAGTGTTATCTAATGATGATTGTTTTGTTTAATTTCTTGAGTGTTGCTAAAGAATAATGAGGATGCAGCCATGTGCTTTTCTTGTTGTTCCTATATATGTATCTAGGTGCTAATAATGATGGTGGTTCGGTGGACAGAGTATTTGAACACTGATCTGCATAAATCTGTCACTGTACTTTAGCATTGCTTGTGCTTTCTGACCATTTTGAGAAAATAGTGTTTTTCACCAGTAATAACGATGGATGGTCCTTGCTCTGCTTAATAAAATAAGGCTCTGGAGTCTGCGGCTTTTGGGATCTGAGAAAAGAGCTTCCCCCTCCCAGCCTTAACTCTTAACATAGATGTACTTGTGAATGTCTGACTTCAGTAGAATGGATTTTGTTTTGCCATGGTTTAGCAGGGGTTTTTCTGCATTCTTTCATTGATGGTGTTCCTTCTTTCTAAAACAATTCTACTGTATCCGGGAAAGAAAGCAAGAATAGATTGTACAGAAGCAAGGCTTCCACTTTACATATCCACTGTCTATTCTTATTCTTCATCAGATTACTCTTTAGAAAATCCTTTTAAGAACAGGTTTTAGTGCCTAATATCAATATCCCCTAGCTGCTGAATTTTATGTACTCCATTTACAACTAACACAAGTTTGAAAAACAGTTCCCCATGTGACTTTTTAAGAACAAAGAATTTCCTTGCATCTGCTATGACTTCAGGTTTATTTAATATTGTTGCTTTTCTATGTTTTACAATACAGTTTTATTGACTGGTTTGCCAGACCAGGGCATTCAAAATTGTGAGGCAGGTGCCCAAAATCATGCGACGTATTTAAAACTCATGAGAATTTAGAGGACCATATGAATTTGGTTTTGTGACTTGTTTCTGAACCTTTGATGTGCTCAGTTTGTAAGATGTATAAGTCCAGGAAAAAAATGTAAACAAACCCTGCTTCATATAATCAGATGGTTCCAGGATCTGGGTCTTTTAAAAATAACATCCAGACTTTCAATAAAATCGTGAGAGTTTGGCAACTCTTTTTCTGAACTATAATAGTAATCCTTGTCAATGACACCATTGCTTTGTATTCTTCAGCAACTGAAGATGAAGCAAGCGAGTTTTCCTTATTTTGTCCAGTGCACACTCAAGAGCCACTCAAGCTGTTTTGTGAGACCTGCGATACTCTTACATGCCGCAGCTGCCTTCTGACAGAGCATAAGGAACACAGGTACCGCACATTGATTGCTTAATCATAATCCTGACTAAAACTGTAGGTAATTTAGATTTAAGACTGTTCATCTGCATTTCCTGTCAGCTAAAGTTGCAGGGTGGTCCAAAGTTAAAAGCCATAGCAAACTCGGTTCAGTTGTCTTATGCCCAGTGTAACACATGGGTTACTGCCCTCACAGAATCACTCACTGCTCTCAGCAGTGTGTACCTTCCCAATTGTATTGTCTGCTCAGATACTATGTATGCATGCATATAGAATCATAGAATCATTATGGTTGGAAGAGACCTCAAAAGATCATCAAGTCCAACCGTATACCCTATGCCACCATGCCCGCTAAACCCACTAAACCATGTCTCAAAGAGCCACATCTAAACGTTTTTTGAACACCTCCAGGGACGATGACTCCACCACCTCCCTGGGGAGCCCGTTCCAGTGCCTAACGACTCTTACAGTGAAGAAGTTCTTTCTAATGTCCAACCTGAACCTCCCCTGGCACAGCTTGAGACCGTTTCCTCTAGTCCTATCACTAGTTACTGGGGAGAAGAGACCAAGCACTGCCTCGCTACAACCTCCTTTCAGGTAGTTGTGGAGGGTGATAAGATCTCCCCTCAGCCTCTTTTTCTGCAGGCTGAACAACTCCAGCTCCCTCAGCCGGTCCTCATAAGACTTTTTCTCCAGGCTCTTCACCAGCTTTGTTGCTCTTAATAGTTCCTTGTTCCTTGTGATTGTGCTGAAAGGCCCAACTTGATCTTAATACTTAGCATGGTTCAGATGCTTCTGTTTGTCTTTGTCAAAGACATCATGACTGTAGAAGACTGGAGTTACTGATGTTTAAGCATGCTTCTTGCCTGTGGAACTGCGTGAGCCATGTAAGGAATTGTCATACACCGTAACACTTTTTGTGAGATGAGCCTGCCTATATGAGGGGCGATAAAGTTTAGCTGTCAGAGAGAACATTTGTAGTAGGAAAGAAGCAGGGGACCATGTCCAGACAGGTATTAAGGCAGCTGGTCCCCTAAACTTATCAACTGATAAGTTGATTACTTATCAACAGAAAAAAACATGGTGTGAGAATTTGCCCTTCTTTCACAGGTTCAGACATCTTCATGAAGCTTTGCAAAATCAGAGAGTTATTCTGGAAAATGTCATAACTAAAGTGGAAGAGAAAAAAAATGGGATTCGGGTTTCAGCTAAACAGATTGAGGACAGGTAATTGCTATGCTTTTTTTTTTTTCATGAAAGTGGGTGGTCAATAAAAGTATTATTGTCACTAAATGTAGGTTAACAGAAGTAAATGCAGATGCTATTTTTTTTTTTTCTTGGAGGATAGGAAATAATAGGAAGATTAAAAATATCAAATCTGTGTTTAAGTGGTACTGACAAGTCATGGCATTGTAATACATGATTTCATAGTCCTTGTAAGGCATGTGACAGCTGACTTCAGAGTTAAGATTTCTTCATATAATTTGTTTCTGAACTAAAATTTGAAAAGATTAGAAATAAAGACTATTTTTAAAATACCTTGTTTCTTCAAGAAACCTCAAACCAAGCTGCAATTCCAGTCAGGACTAGTATAAAAATTAAAATATTTCATTATAGAAACTGGATTTCAGCTGCTGATTATGTATTTGTTGGCTGTTGGATCTCTCTTGTGCATTAATAAAACCACTTCAAACACCTTGAAAGAGTACAAATCTATTTATACTGTTTAGTATAAAGTGAAACTTTTTTGGATGTGGCTTCTATGTCTGTTTGTTGACAAAGAACTTAAGATTGTTCTTGGCGTGATGTTCAAGAGTCAATCAGCATTAGCATGTCACTTCCAGAGAGTAGTGGACAACAGCTGAATGTCTGGATGGAGATCAGTGACTAGTGGTGTCCCTCAGGGTTCCGTATTGGGACGAATACTGTTTAATATCTTCATCAATGACATAGTGGGATCAAGTGCATCCTCAGCAAGTTTGCAGATGACTCTGAACTGAGTGGTGCAGCTGACATGCCTGAGGGACAGGATGCCATCCAGAGGGACCTGGACAAGCTCAAGGAGTGGGCCTATGTGAACCTCATGAGGTTCAACAAGGCCAAATGTAAGGTCCTGCACATGGGTCGGGGCAACCCCTGGTATCAAGACAGGCTTGGGGATGAAGGGATTGAGACTGTCAATGATTGGGATTGAGAGCAGTCCTGCAGAGAAGGACTTGGGGGTACTGGTGGATGAAAAGCCAGACATGAGCCAGCAATATGTGCTTGCAGCCCAGAAAGCCAGTCCTATCCTGGGCTGCATCAAAAGTAGCGTGGCCAACAGGTGGATGGAGGTGATTCTGCTCCTCTGCTCTGCTTTGGTGAGACCTCCCCTGCAGTACTGCCTTCAGCTCTGGGGTCCTCAGCACAAGAAGGACATGGACCTGTTGGAGCGAGTCCAGAGGAGACCACAAAGATGATCAGAGGGCTGGAGCACCTCTCCTGTGAGGACAGGCTGAGAGAGTTGGGGTTGTTCAGCTTGGAGAAGAGAAGGCCCTGGGGAGACCTGATTGCAGCCTTTCAATACTTAAAGGAGGCTTCTAAGAAAAATGGGGACAAACTTAGTAGGGCCTGTTGCAATAGGACAGGGGGTAATGGTTTTAAACTGAAAGAGGGTAGATTCAGACTAGATATAGGGAAGAAATGTTTTACAATGAGGGTGGTGAAACCCTGGAACAGGTTGCCCAGAGAGGTTGTAAATGCCTCCATTCTTGGAAACATTCAAGGTCAGGTTGGACGGGACTCTGAGCAACCTGCTCTAGTTGAAGGTGCCCCTGCTCATTGCAGGGGGATTGGACTAGATGACCTTTAAAGGTCCTTTCCAACCCAAATGATTCTATGATTCTATGTTTGAAGAGAAGTATGGGAGAACTTATGGGAAATGGTGTAACTTTCATTGGAGTTCTCTGTCAATATTTAGATCAGTTCTTGTAACAAATAACTCCTAAGCTCTGTATACATGACATACCAGTTGGCTCATCCAGGGATGTGTATCTCTTACCCATAGGCTGCTTGAAGTAAAACATTTATACAAAAAGGTAGAAAATCAAATAAAAATGGCCAAGATGTTTTTGATGAATGAAATCAATAAACGAACAAACATCCTTCTTGAACAACTTGAAGTAAGTAAGGCTAGTTTCTTTGATACCTTGGGAAATTAAACTAAATTGAATTTAATCCCAGTGCCAATGGAAAGAATATAGATGGTGAGAGTTTTTGTCCCTTTGCTAATGTTTTCAATTTTTTTTTTGTTTCCCTGCAGAATTTTATGTGGAATCAATGGTTGACAAAGATTCAGGATGAAGTGGCAAAATGTTTACTTGTCATGAGTTAACCATATTTTCTAATGCAGTTACAGAAAATATGTGTGCACCTTTTAAGAACTTACAAAACAAACCAGCTTCTGGTTTTAATGTTTAATTTGTAGAAAACAGCTAGCAGCACATTTAATAACCTGCTTTGAAAATGATCCTCTAGTCTATTTTCTGTAACAGAGCCTGAAGTTTTGACTCTTCAGTTTTTGGATGCCCAGTTGGAGTATATATGGTCTTATTCTGAAATGTGCTGAGCATAAGAGTTGCTATCAGATCTGATCAGAATTTCCAGTTCTCAGTTATTCTTGGGTAATTTTAGCAGGTATTGGAAAGACAAGGCACTCAGCACTTGCTGGCTGGCTGCCTTTGAACTTACATATTTGACTCAAATATGGCGACCTAGCTAGGTGGCTTTACAAAAAAGAGAAACATATGTTCTCCTATCAGTATTATTAAACATTAGGAAAATTCAGTGTTCACATGTTTTGACAACATTTCAGTGTTTGTCTGAGTTAACTATAACCACAACTGAACTGTGCATACACTTGAAGTATATGCACAGTGCTCTGTTGGAAGTGCATGTAGGGGGAATCACATGAAATCAGGAGGTGCTGGGTTCAAATCAAACAAGGGCCAATAGTTCTTCACATAAATGGTAGATGAGTGTGAAACTCCTTGCTGCAAGATATTGTGTGTAAGTTCAAAAATAGACAAATTAATGGAAAAATACACTGAGGGTAATGATGTAGCCTCTGTCTTTGTGGTCCTGAAATCATGGATTGTTGGAGATTGGAAGACCATTCTGAGGAAATGCTGCATGCTTTCTCTCTTTTTATATTATTTCTTGTGTCTCTTCTGTTGTGTATTGTAAGAGACTAGAAAGTGGTCCACGTGCAAATTTGATCCAACTTCTACAGCTTTCTTGGGTTACGCTGTTCTGTTAAACCAAAGCCAGACTGATGTAGGTGGTTTGCTCCTGCAGAAATCATTGTTCTTCCTGAATTCAGACATATCTGTCAAATAGGATTTGCTTTCTTTTTATGATTGGTGGTTTAAAGAGATTCTAAATAACAGTGTCCCTGCGAATAATGCATAAAGTAGTGCCAATGATTGTATGCATTGTGTATGTCTGAAGAATTACAACTATCTTCTACTGATTCACATTATTAACAGAAAATCACCAGTGAAAGGAAGGAGAAATTGGAGGAACAACTGCAAGGTGTTGTTGTTTTAAGCAGACAGATAGAACATGTGCAGAACTTCATCAGCTGGGCAGTGCGCAGTAAAAACAGTATCCCATTTCTCTTCAGTAAAGAACTGGTAAGAGCAATACTTATTTTCTCAGTAAACTGAAATTGTGCAGTAAATGTGAGAACTGTTTTAAGCATTTAATGTTTCTCAAATAAACCATTTTTAATGATCTTATAATTGTGAATAAAATCATCATCCTTTGATTTGTCACCAGATTGTATTTCAGATCCAGCGCTTATTAGATACAAACTGTAACACAGACATAGGCCCTCCTCTGAAGATCAGATTTACTTGGGATCCCTCCTACTGGACCAAACAACTGTCCAATTTGGGTAAGAAAAATATATTGCTTATTAGGCAAGTGCCCAAAGCTAGACAAGACGGATATAGACAATACAGTACTTTCCCTAGAGTGCTTTCCTTTTCTGTTTTGACTTCCAGTTTTGTACCTCTTGTCACATTCTGAAGAAAAGCTAGTGTGGCTAAACTTTCCTGTTTTTCCCTCCAGTTGTATTAATTCACCTATTAAAAGACATCATTATATATAAATATTACCTTATAAACATGACCTAGAAACACACTCTATAAATATCATCTTTGGCCTTACAAAATCACAGTGTAAGGATGCAACTACTAGTTTAGTGGAAACACTGTGCAGGACTAAAGAAATAACTTTTAAGTGAAATGACTTAAAATGTAGCATCGCTGGCTATCAAACAGCCTTGACATTGACCAATGTATTTGAAACTCAGTTCTGCCCCAGCAAGCAATAGCTCTGTACAACACTGTGACTCTGACAGTCCTGTAAGGAGCGAAATGGAGTATCTGCAGTGGGCCTTGTGCTATTTCCTCTGCCTTACCCAGGGGCAGCTGGGCTCAGTCATGCCTACAGTCCTTGGATTCTTTAGTATCTTAGTGGCCAAGGGACCTAAGCAGTGCTTGAGACATTTACAATTAATGGACACAAAGATGGCTTTAAGACATTGACAGTATAATAATTACAGTGTTATTTATATAATGAATGTGCATACTGTGACTTTGTTTCCCACCAGCTATAAATTTCCCAACTGCAGTGGTTTTTTACAGTAAATTTGCTTCAGTGGGCTGATCAATGATCTAAAAGTTTGGTTCTCTTCCCTTTCTAAGATATTTAAAACTAAATGAGGTAAAACACTATCAAAAGCATTGCAGGGAATACTCTTCTCTTGACTAAAAGCATGGACAAGATCAGTTCATAGGTCAGTTCTATTTCTAGCTTTTATGATTGTTGCCTACATAACATCAATCTCTTGTATTTTTGTCACTTTCACCCTGGAAGCAGTCTTTTGTACCTGTGCTTATGGATCAGAAGATATGCTCTTAGTAAAAAATGAAAGTATAAGCCATATCCATCAGTTAAAATAAGTTGAGGTCAGTTTTTCAAAGCATTTGCTGGTAATTGAACCATGAGTTCCACTGACGTCAGTGGGAGTTTGGTGTGATTTTAAATCACTGAAAAATTTTGTAAAATTTGTCTTGAAGGTATGTTGAAGGACTGTTTAGATAGGATATTTGAATATTTTTCATATTTGAGATTAAGATAAGGAAATGACCATTTCAGTTCACAGTTTTTATTGTGTAAATTTGTCAAGATCATAGGAGGGAGTAAATTTGCTGTTTTTTCCAGGAGGTTTGACTATGGAAGGTGGACACATTTCTCACTCAGATATGCTACTCTGTGGAAACATGCAAGGATTACAGACCTCCTTGTATCATGGGCACTGTTCACCAGTATCACAGCTGGAGCCTGTGAATAGCCAGCCACATCAGTTTCCACCTGCAGTTCAGTGTCCTATGCCTGTGTGTTGCTCACACTGCCTTGGAGTACCTCACCCAAACAAAGCTCAACCTTCTTACCAAGACATAAACCACCATCAGAATTTTCAACAACCTCCCGAACTGCATCAGCAGCACTTTCCACTGCAGTACAGCATGCAGCAACACGATAAAGAGCAAAGGGGTGCCTCTCAGCCTATGAAGCTAACACAGCCTAGGCTGGAACAGCAGTTGCGGTCAGAGCCAGAGAACATGTCTGGGAGGATGGGAAAGCACTTACCATCCCAGCAGCTGCAGCAGACTTCACCCCTCAGTTATGCAGTTGTATCACACGAGACTCAGCAAGTTCACACGAGCCATCCACAGCCATTCCACACACAGGCTTCTTTGCAGACATCAACTGTGCAAGTGCAACTTGGTCATCTCCAGAAGATAAAATCTAACCACCTGCAGCAGCCACCGCAGCAGCAGCAGCTGCCACCAGCATCACCAGCATCAGGTCAGAATGAGAACACCCACAAACAAGTCATCCAGCAGAGCCTGGACATAATGCACCATCAGTTCGAGCTGGAGGAGATGAAGAAGGATCTGGAGCTTCTTCTGCAGGCCCAAGGACAGTCCAGCTTGCAGCTGAACCAAGCCAAGCCACCTCAGCATGTTCAACAGACCATAGTTGGTCAAATCAACTACATAGTGAGGCAGCCAGCCCCAGTTCAGCAACAAATCCAAGGTGAAGCACAAGTAAGTTCTCTAAAAGTTCTTTCCTACTTCATTTAGTCAATCTAAGCTCAGAAATGGGAGACACCTTTGAGATTTCCTGTATTTCATTGAACTTTCTGTTGTTGTCTTCTCTATGTTTGTATTCAGCAGAGGCTTCATGCCTCATGCAGATTAGGCCAAAATTTTCTGTAAAGTGCTGCATAAACAACCTGTATCCCAAAGATCTGAATCTCTGACTAGACAAGGTGAGCAGCAGGTGGGAGAATAAAAGCATCATCATTCCTCCTTTGTGAACAGGTAACTGGAGGACTGCAGTAGTCTCACTCTCCATTTCAACTCCTTTTTACTGGAAACTTTAAGCCCCGAGTCCTTGAAAAAGATTCTCTTTTGATTCTGAATGATTACTGAAAAGAGGGTGAAAAACACCTTTTTTCGATGAGTCATTTCCCATTCTACTAGTAACAGCTCTTGCTACTGCATCATGTCCTTTAAGATTTCCATCAGTATTCATACATGCTGTTCTGTTACAGTTTTGTCAGCAGGGCTCATTATTGCCCTTTTCCTCTGTTGGTAAGAATCCTGCTTTTGAAAAAGGGACAGTGCTTGGTCGTGAGCATCCAAACTACAAGGCAGATAAGATGCACAATAAGGTGGCTTTGAAACTCATTCAAAACAGTGGGCATTGCAGCAGAAAGTGGCTGGGACTTCCTATTGTGTAAATTCTGTGGAGTTCCCACCTTGAATGGCTCTCAAAGTGACTTACCTGTAGGGGCAGACTGCAGGCTTTTGGAATAGCCGTACATTTCAGCAGCTTTATTGACGTTTGGTTTTTTATTTTTTTAAAATTCATTACTGTTTGAGAGAAATCTTTCTCCATTCGTCTCTCTACTTAGGGTTACTTTGATCATCTTTGTTGTTTTAAAGTCTTTCCAGTCTTGTCATATTGTGCATGCTGTGAGTCAATGTGAATGTTACCATTTTTCTTTCTGAGATTTTGAAAACATAAATTCTTAATTATGATTTGTAGGTCTGTGAGGGTTCTACTGAACTTGATGCCCAGAAGCCTGTAATTCCTCTTGACAAAAGTGATAGTCCCTCCCTGTCACAGTCACTAGATGAAGAAGCCAGTGTCAGCAGTCACTCCCCTGAGAGCACATTGCAACAATCAGCTTTCCATCCAGTGAGAAAGGTATAAAGAACTTTTTTTAAAAAAAATATTTTAAAGGGAAAACATGATTTGATAATATTGAATATAACATGGAATTTGCAATCAGGTTGACAAAAATTAAAATACAGTAGAAGTTGACAAAATGGCTTGTAAATCTTGGAAGACAGTCATAGCCTAACCTAGTGTGCATTTCCCAGTAAGATGCCTACACACTGTGCTGTAGCCAGGATCAGCAACTGTTCTGTAAGCTGATAGCCTTTAGATCTGGCTGGCATGATTGCTAAGTATGAACTGGTAAATAAATTGAAGATGTATTTCTTCACTGAGTAAATTCTGTCCAGTCCCTATCTCTATGCATTTAAGTATCAGGACTTGCTAACTACTATACTAGCAGCAGTTAATTTGAAGGGGAAAAAAAAAGAGAGAGTCAGAGATTCTGATGAAATCAGGCCTGAGAAACATCCTTCAAAATACTTGACCCAGAAATAACAACACTCATTATTAATGGAAGATGTGATGTCTGAAAGGGATATAATTCTGTTATACTCTTTCTCCTTGTTCTTCTACAAGCAGAAAAATCATAGATTTCTGTATGTCTAGAATATTTCAGCACGTAATAGAGCTGTGGTTTGATCCTTCCACCTACTGGGAGCCCCTAACTATAGAAGCAGCAGCATAAACAAAACCAGGAGGGCTCATCTTTACCAGTAGATCCTTGTTGCCTCTTGATATCACCTGTGCCGTTGAGGCAGAGAAGCTGCCTTTTACCTCTCCATACAGTTTGTTTAAAACACTCCAAACAGCACTTCATAATCTGGTTGCTCAAATCTGTTTGGTACTTCTGTGCATGACTCATGTTGTGTACCATGTAGAAGTCTTTCATGGATATTTTTTCTTGGAATTTGTGGGGGGAATATGTGGAAGAACTTGTCTTTCCTTACTAGCCCCAAAAAGGAAGTTATTTTGTCCTTCTTTAGTATGCTGCTTTGTTGACCCAACATGTTTATGATGCAATACCCATTCAGACAGTTGTTGGAGATCCTTTTGGGAATTGTAGAGACACAGAAAGGTAGTGATTACTAATGATCTGGAAGCAGCATGCAAGCCAGATTTGGAAACCACAAAGAAATCTGCCGTTGCTAACTTAATCCTGTAGATGTGATGGAATTTCTGGATCAGGCTGATGGTATCACAGCATTCTGAGATGATGCTCTTTGGTGCTGAACTTTCACATGTGGAAGCAGATCTCCCTTAACCTCTGATGATAGAACACAGGACTGAGGAAAGCTATGCAAATTTTCTACGATAGCGCTACCTTTACTTTAGGATATGACTGTAAAAATTGGAAGATGTGTGTTTAAGGCCTCAGCAAGACCATGAACCTGAGCACACATTTTTCTTGTAATGGACACACCCTCAAAGTTATTTGTGAAAATGAATGGTGATGCTAACCAACTTCAGAGACTTCTTCTACATGGATGTTGAAGAAGCTGTCCTTTGTCTTCTGGACCTGTAAAAGAAAGTTACTCCTGACAACTTAGAAAAGTCAGAAAGAGGGAAGAAAATGGAAGCAGATGTACAAGGGAGAGACTAGTGTAGTCTGATAGGAAAAGGAGGAGAAAAAAAAGGAAGAAGGGCTGATTTGTTCCTGTACAAGTTGAGAAGGTGGCAAGAGGAGGATACTCCTACAAGAAAAAAAAAAAAAGGAAATTTTTCTAATGGTGCTGAGAAGTGCATGCTCTTGTGCAGAAAGCACAGGTGTCTATTTTTTTACTTATTTCCTGGTACCTCTGCAAGAAATGAGGACATTCAACAACTATAGCACCCCATCTTTGCTTGTATTTATCTCTTGTAATGAGGTGTTTGGGATGAAGCCATAATGTACTGACAGCTCTGGCAATGGCTACTTAGAAATGATGAAGGGAAACAGCACAGTAAGGAAACCCTAGAAATATATTCTTCATAAATGCTCTTTAAAGATGTCTGACTGCTTTTGCTGACAATTAGATTAAATCTAGGTTTAAATGGGAGATTGGTTCCTATTTAAGAACAAGGGGATGTGTCTATTCATTCTCATCTCTGTTTCACCTGATTAAATATTTTCACGCTCATCTCCAGACAAAATTTACTTTCATATGGCCTGTATTCAGAACATTTCGTCTCTCTCAAGTTCTTGGAGGACATGGAAAAAGTGAATGTGGAGAAGTCTAAAATACTGCACTTGGAAAATATGGTAGAGAAAATAGCTTGAAAAACCTTTTGCTACCTGGAGGAGAACTGTATTTTGCCTTTTGGAGAATAATTGGTATTGGACTATTTGGCCTTGTGTTGCAGTTGTGCTGAACTCTGACAGCATTCATTGTGTGCAGCATTCCTAGTGGAGTAGGTAATTCTCTGGCTGCCGAGACTCTTTCATTAAAGAGAAAGCAGCGTGAACCAGGAAGTAGAAAAACTCAGATTTAACTGTTTAGTGATATGTTTGCCAAGATCTGCCAGAAAAGAAAAGCTTCCATTAGCCCAGTCGTTTCCTTTATTTTGGAGGGGGGCAAGGCTTGATTGCTCATGTAATTAAATATCTGTGCATTAATTTTGAAAGAAACAAATTGATACTATTGACTGATAACTAGATGAGTTGTCTGCATATGGGATCATATTTATGTGTGAAGCAATATAGAGTAGATGCTGTTAGTTTGGGACCACAACATTACTCAGAAATGCGGAAACCAGAAGTACGTTATTCAGAGCATTCCAGACAAGTGCTAGTGCAGCCATTACACCATGATGTGAGGAACTCGTATGCCAGGTGAGTGCCTTTGAGTTCAAAGAATGCCTGTTCAAATTATTCTGATGAGTAGTGTTTTCTGTCCCTCACATATAAAGCTGGTTATGGATGAGCAGAAGCAGAGACGCAAGGATGAAACACTTCATGCACTTGTAAAATCATAGAACCATAGAATGGTTTGGTTGGAAGAGACCTTACAGATCACCTCGTTCCAACTCCCCTGCCATGGACAGGGACACCTTCCACCAGACCAGGTTGCTCAAAGCCCCATCCAACCTGGCCTTGAACGCTTCCAGGGATGGGGCATCCACAGCTTCTCTGGGCAACCTGTGCCACTGCCTCACTACGCTCACTGTGAAGAATTTCTTCCTAATATCTAATCTAAATCGTCCCTCTTCCACTTTAAAGCCACTGCCCCTTGTCCTGTCACTACATGCCCTTGTAAAAAGTCCCTCGCCAGCTTTGTTGTAGGCCTCGTGTTACATTTCACCATCAGGACAAAAATTAGCTTTACTGAGCAGACAGAATTTTGGCTTTCCAGTCATATAAAGTAGGGTTTTCTGGCTGGTGTTGATCAGAAACATTGGCATCAAGGCTACTGCTGTCTTAAAGTTCAGAGTAATGCCTGTCTGTGCCCATCTGCTGTGTATACATGTGTGTAGTATAGTCTCTAAACATGTAACTTCACTTATGTATGGGCTTGTTTTCATTTGTTTCACTATTTTTGGAACATTAATGGTGATATTTTGTCAGCCTTTCTGTCTTCCTGTGTATTCCTCTAACTATTTTTTCTCTGTGAATTGAAATTTTTGTGCAAAATAAATGTTTCTATACTTAGACCATTGATTGTTGGATATGTCAAGTACTGCACTTGGTATAAGTTTGGACTTGATTAGCACCTTTTAAGAATGCAACACTAGAAATGGAAGTTTTCTGTCTATGTGCAAAATGGATATAATTTTCTCTTCATGCTCCTCTGTCAGTATACTTCACTCATGTAGCTGGGACCTCTGTTTTGGATTGTGGAGTTGTTCCGTCCCCACGTCTGTCAAACACCTAACCTCTCCAGTAAGAATGCCAGCAAGACAGAGGACAAATCTCAGAATAACTTTTGTGATACCTGCACTTTTGTTGTGGGGAATCATGCCAAGCTCTATCAAACAGATTTTATACAAGCTATTGAATAGCTGAGTTGCAGTGTGAAGGAACAGGTACTCAATTAGATTAACAATTTTGTGGAAAGGGTTACCAGTCTTCTGCAATGATACGGTCTTCCTGTTGCTTTTACATAGTATGATATTGAGTTATTAATTTGAGCGTAGTACTGGAGAGGTCATCTATTCTGGAGCAGAGGAGAGAATAATAAGGTTTTTTTGGCCTAATTGTGTTTTCAGGAGTAATAACGGGCATACAATCCCTGTTTTGCTTACATGTACCTAATTGTCATTTGTGGCTGTGATGAGCAAGAGGTCTAAAGGCTGCACCAAAAATGTGAAGAAATGTCATAATTACTGTACATCCATAGCACAAATTTTTAGTTTGAGCCTCAGGTGCTGCTGCAACAGACATCGGTATTATTGCAGGGCCAGCTGGATATCTCTCTTCCTCAGACTCATAAATGCACCCCTTTCCCTAGCTAGGAGCAAGGCCTTTACTTGTGGGAGGGAGGATTTCTTGTCTTGTCCAGCTGTTGGGTTGGGTCCTGGGCAGTGAAACACTCTGTACCATCACTGCTCATCCTAAAAACCTGAGTTGGGCACTTGTGGTTCTGCCTTCTGCGACAGTCATCAGTTGTGAGTAGACTGGACAGCATTTGTCAAACTTGGGTTTGGTTATGTTCCTTAGCAACCTTTGAGTGTTTCTCCCCTTGAGCTATTATTTCATCTTCTACTTAAAATAAATCTCTGAATGTGTCATGCACTGTATTAGTAAATTATTACTGAACAGCTGTGTCTGTTCATTTGTAGCTGTAGCCAAAAGCAGATGCTTAGGAAAGGGTATAAGAAACAGACAAATATAAACTGATCCTTTGATGATACACTATCCCAGCTTCAGAAAACCAGCACTTTAGGGACTTGTGTTTTGCAGCTCTTCATGGACCCCTCCTCTGTGAATTTATCTAATCCATTTTTTTGAGTCCATTTTAATATTATTGGTCTCCTCAGCATTCTGAAGCAACTGAGTTTTGCATTGCATGAGAAGTTCCTCTGTTTACTTACTTGAAGTCTCTTGCCTGATAATTCAGTAGGATGCCTTCTAGTTCTTATGCTAGGAAACCAGTGAATAATCACTCTGTATTCTCCACCTTCATAATATCTGTATTTTATAGGTAAATCCTTTTTGAGACAGGGTAACTAGAAATAGTAATCAAGGTGCAAGCACATGGAAATTTTGTATAGTACTGTAACACTCATTTTTGTATTGTTATTTTTGATTCTCAGTAAGTCTCGGCTTCTTAGTTCAAGAGGTCTGCTTGTCTCAAGCACCATAAAGTACCTGAAATGGGGAAACCCTAGAAAATATTCCGTGCCATCCAAGGAGCACTCTTGAGAGCAGTCTGAGAGAGGTTTCTGGTTTATTCCAATTATAAGCAATGGTGGCATTTCATGCAAGACTAACATAGTGACAGTTCATGGTGGAACCTCTCAGCCTCTCCTGGGACTTGATGCATGTGAACTTCTAGGCTCTGACATGCCAATGCTGCTGTTACTACAGGATTATCAGAGAGAACAGCTGATCTCAGTCTGCTGTAGGTGGCATTCTTGGATATTTTGCCCCAACACATTTGTCCTAAACTTTATTAGTGACAACTCTTCCATCTCAGTGGCAAGTGCTTAACTAATGTGTTGGTTTTTTTTTTCTTTAAAAGCATGTGAAATTTGTGGCAGAGGGATTGGGGGACACAGTGCAGGTTTTATTTTTGTTGGTATTGCACTGAGCCTGTTGTGATTACTTAGTGACTGAAAGTAATAATAATTTAATTCCTGTCCCTAGGACTTTGAATCTGAGCTTGGAACTGGGGTGGGTTTGTTGTTGCTGGTGTTTTTTTTCTAATTACTATTAATTTTAGGGGGATTAGAATTGAAGGAAATAATGATAACAGCCTGGAATTTAGGGTCCTGCAGATTCCTAAAGTATCAGAGTATTTTTTGACTTTAAAGAATTGAGCTGCTTACAGCACAAATGCGTTCATGCTTAATGCAATTAGGTACATTTCCCGAATGTTAATTTAACAAAACCTTTTCCTTTGACCTGGAAAAAAGGATAAATAAAACATGATGCTGCTTGCTCCATACAATCTCTTCCTCCTTCCGCTTTAAGCCAGCTTCAGTTTATTCAGACAAAATGTTAAGGAAGATTTGGATTCTTCTTCTCATAAAAGCGGAAAGGAAATCCTTTGGATTCTCTTCTGAAATTGGGAAATACAAATAGGAAGCATGTGTAGACTGTGTTATCAGTGCTGCTGTGCGCGGTGAGTTAAACAACTGGATTGGAGTAGTACATTTGTTTAACCTCCTAGCATAATGAGCTGCCAGGGGGATTGCTCCACTTAATAGCAGCCGTTCATTACTCTGCAACCATTTGCAGCGTGTTATTTCTCTTATAGCAAAGAGAATTGGCGGTTCCTAGTTTTAGCTTTCTTTATCTGTCACACTTAATGTCAACAGCCTTGAGACTTTGCCAAAACAATCCTAACAAATCCTAATCCCAGTGTTTCAAGGTAAGTATTTGCTTCTCAGAATTCTTCTGTATTAGTGCTGCATGTTTACACTGGACCTTTTTAAATGCAACAGTGGTCAAAGAAATATTTGAACTGAACAATATGTTTATTTTTTTGTTCTCTGAAGGCACTTTGCATGTTCTTTCTTCTTACCTTGCACTACCATAGCTATGAAATTTGTGGTAGAAGGCATTTTGGGGTGGTGATGCTGCTGCCATTATATTATAAGGATCATTAGACCAAAATTAATTACGAGACAATGAGAATTCCATTTATAATGAGACAGATATAGTTTGATGTGCCAGGCTGTACATTAAAATGTCAAAAGTTTCAAAATTAACCTAGAGCTGAAGCCACCCTCTACCCAAGAGCATAATTAATGCTTGTTGTTGTTCAAAGGGTGCAATGTAAAAGCAATAGAGCTTTTATAAAACAGAGATCAATTCTTTAAAGGCATCTCATTTGCAAAAACTAGCAGAACTGTCAAGGGAAAAGAGAAATTTTTGCTAATGGCAAAAGAAATGATTATTTTAGGGAGTGAATTAATAGGCTATTAATGAGCCTTGTTCCCAGTGCATTGTTCACTTCACACTTGACAGCAGCTCCATGGATCAGAAAGGAATGTGTCTGTTCTTAACTGTGAGTTTTAATATTTTGCACTGAAAGATCATAATGTTGCTTCATCATTAAAATAACCACAAAATTAACTTTTGCCCCAAGGGAAAGACAGATGGCAGTTTGATGGCCTCATTATTCTTTTTTCTTTTTTAACAAGAGTAAGGTTTTATATTGGCTTATATAATCTAAAAAGATCTCTGAAGAAACTGATGCTAGCTAGAAGAGTAAAAAAGATATAGCTATGTAATGCAATTGAATTTCACCTTTCTAAAAATTTGAGTTATAACAAAGTCTTAATGCGTGTGTCTATTTCTTTTTTTCTGCAGTAGGAGTCGTCCCAGTGAGTACTCCCAGCAAGTAAACTTTGCCTCACTGAAGCTAGGAGTAATCCTACCATTGTCTTAGTAGGGCTAACATTTTACCTGCAGCGTATATGGTTACACACAGATGGGTCTTCACAGGGTCAGGTCTCAATACCTAATAGATGATGGCACGCTCTTGTAACATAAGTAAAAGAAGATGCATGTAGTGATTAGAAGTGAATAGCCACAAGGTCTCCAGTTAACTTGCTATGCAGCTTTGGGTGGTGTGCCTACCATGTGTGTGCCTCAGCATGCCCATTTCCACTGCAGCACAGCTTTAGGTAGTTCCTATTGATTCAGGCAGGAATTTGGGGATGCTTTGTGCTTTTGAGAATCTGGCTAAATAAATATTTAACTACCTCGCAGGGACTTAATTAATGCTCATAATGGACTTTGAAATGAGGGGAAAAGGCAAGGCTGTTCAGTTCAAGCACAAATTCTGCTTATTTGTTTTATTTTCTGTAAGTGATATGAGAACAATTCACATGTTTAGTTTGTCATCTGAAAAAGGCTTGTGGTAAAGAGAGTGATGGAATAAAAAGGAAAATGTGTACTTGATAGGCCACATTTGTCACAGCATGTGCAGGAACCTGTCACAAGCAAATTATGACAGCAAATGAACATTTTTGATCTTTGTGGACTTCTTTAGGATGTGTGACCGTGAAAGCTGGATTCCTTTCTGACCTACATATGTTCCTTTGGTTTGAAACCTGAGCATTCTTAGGAAGGCTCTGTCAGACAGAGTACATGGAAAATGCGTTTCCTCATTTGCTGTGTTCCAGTTTTCAGCTCACATGTAAGGTAGGAAGAACGTGTTTGACTGGTTCCAGCTGGTTCTGAGAAGTTATTATGGCTCAGACAGCTTAGATTCAGGGACATTCATTTGCGTCAAGAGGAGGAAAATGGCCGATACCCTGGCTGCAGAGGCCCAGTACTCTCTGGCATGCCTTCTACACAAAAGGACTGTTTAAAACAGACTTACCAGAGCACTGTGTGGTAGAATGGCACAAACCTTCCCTAGCACTGCAGAAGAGCTAACCTCTTTCTGTCTCAAATGCAGGCTGTTTTGTCTCATTGAATGTAAGTGGTCACTGTTCAGGCAAAGCTCCTACTGTAGCATCTATTGCAAATTGAGGAAAAGCAAATTAAATTACATCCTTAGGTGGAAATTAATGTTTGTGGGCAGAGTGTTCTAGCACATAGGTGATATGCATTGCAAGCAGAGGAATTCAAGACTGACTTCTTTGGCATTATGTAGGATTTACACAGGCACAACTGACAGTCTACTGTCTTTACCACTGTTGGATTAAGACGGACAAAGGTATCAAAATCCAAAATGGAGTAACAGTGGAGAAAAATACCAATTAAATTCAGGAAATGTGTCCAGTCTCAGATTCACTTCTAAGTCACAGGCCCCTAGCAGAAAAATAATAATGAAATTAAACTCTGATTCACAGGCAATCAACACGTTTCTTTTCTAGATTTGTATTGCAATGAGTGCTACTTACTGTATTGCAGTCAAATGAAAAGGATTTATTCACTCAATTATCAAGGGTGAAACACCAATGAATGATGAAATAAATGGAAAATTATATATTCAAGTGACACAGATTGCATACTTCTTAAGACTGCTTATATTTGCTTCATATGGATGCTAGGTGAGTCCTGATTTCAGTACAGTCACACACTCCTGGATGTAAGGCAGCTTAAGGAAGTCGCCTCAATGGGTGGATTTGCTTTGTATTGCATAACAGTATTTGTGTGGTTTTGACAGTGACAAATCGTGAGACAGCAGGAAATGCAGCTTGCTAAAACTGTTTCAGAGACTGTGGTAAATATTTTCTTTCTTTGGAAACTAGATGTGTACATCCTTCCTCATTAGTAGATGTAGGATGTTTCTGGATTTATACTATGTTATTTAAAGGGCAAGTGCCTTAGGTTTTAATGGAACAGACTCACTAACTAGTGAAGTTTTCCGCATCATGAACAGTAACAATAGTTTCATCCACTTGTGTTAGATCTGAATCTTATTTCTTCTGAATAAAGTGATCTGATGATTTTTTTAATAAAATGGTAACGTTTCTAATCTGAATCTTATTTCTTCTGGAATAACTCAACGGAAGCTAGTAGGGTTTATATCAAGGATTGATTTAGTACAATATTCTACATGCTCAGATTTCACATTCATTGTAGGGAGTTAAAAATCAAGATCCCTTGAACTGATCAAAAGAAGGCATTTTTTGTAAATCACGGAAGAGTAACCTAGGTGTCTCCTTTTCCAGTTGTCAGTTTTAATGGTGGAAACTCTAAAGCTTTTGGAAATGGTATAAGATTACAATAGATACTTTCAAGCTCTTGTGACACAACTGGTTGATTACGTATAGCTGAAACAGAGTATCCCATCCACTATAGAAAGAGCAGTAGCATTTTGCTGCTGAAAAGCTTATTAACATATTGGGTTTTTTTTCTTTCTTTCTTTCTTTTTTTTTTTTCCACAGTGCTCATCATCCTTAAGCGTTGTGGACTTTTCAAACTGTTTAGAAATGGAATTACCTTCAACAAGGTTATCTAGCTTGGTCGATCCACAGATGCAAGGTGCAGCCGCTGTAGCACCTGGGCCATCCCCAAATGCCCTTTGTGACTGTGATACTCCACCGGAGTTGGTGCCTAGCTACAGCTTGGCATTGGACAGAGCTCCAAGTGACCTGAGCCCTGGGGCTGCCTCTGGCCTCGCACCAGGTGATGCACTCCAGGGCAGCGCTAAGTGCAAGGTAGGAATCGCTCAAACTCCTCTGCTGAAAGGGAATCCACGTTCATTGATAGCACATGCTATTGTTAGTCAGTCAGTCAAAGGCAGATATTTCAGTAAGTAAGGTTTTCCTTATCTGGTATTTGAAGACTGATTACAAATTATTTTCTTATGATGGAAAGAAAGAAAACTAATAATAAAATTTGACTTTTTTCTTTTTTTCCCTCTGAAGCTGGAAAATGAAGACTTCAGTACTGTAGATAATTCCCCAGAAAACAGCTTGGCTACTGCTGGGCAAGATGTAGTTAATGAATTAACTCTTTCTATGCAAAAAGTGCTGGAAGAACCTATTAATCTTTCAATCAAAAAATCTCAACATTGCAGTTCTCCTTCTGAACTGATCAGCAGCACTTCCTTCCTGCCTGTGAATGCCAGAATGAGACAACTTAGAAACAAAGAAGGTACCAGGCTTTTCATTATTTCATTTAGGTTTTTGGTCTGTCTGTCTGTCTCAGCACTGTGCATTGCAAGCATTGCAAAGCAGTGTGCTTATTAATGTACTTACATATAAATATGCTTTTCCAGCAAGCTTCAAATATTATCAGAGTACTTAATCCAATGGAAAAGCGTATTTGATCACATTTGTGGAGGAAAAACATGGAAATGATATGCCTTGAATTTGTAACATTCTTCATCTATGAACCAGAAATGAGTGTGTCTGTGTGAAGTACCTGGAGCATTAGTTCTCTTAGCATTCCTCTTAATGAGACCTGCAGTTATGACTATTGAAGAGCTGGTTTGAAGAGTCCAAATTCAATTAAAAAAAAAATTACTTCCAAAATGTAATGTGCCTTCTGCTAAGTCCTTCAAATTAGTAGCATAGCAAATTTTTGTTAGGTTAATATATTGCACAGTTTGTGCTTTTGCTTGGCTCTATCTGCTGTGGAACATTCCCTTCAGCCAAGGCCTATTTCTTCAGCCTTAATGGAGAATTAGACCTTACTTAACTCCTTTTCATTGGCAAATTGCCAGCATCCTTGTGCTACACTGCAAAGCCTCATCCCTGCAAACTCTAAAAGTCAATGGAACTATTCATGCAAGCAAGGGATTGCAGAAGCAAGCTGTTATCCTGTGACTTATGCCAGTATTTGGCTGCTTTTCTCTGTAAAAGATGAATTAATATTTCTATGTCTGTGCTGTATTTTTATTCAGAGAATTCTAATTAGTACAAAGGAGGCCTAGCTCAGTGAGCCAAGGAAATGTATTTGTCTTCTCTTATATGTACTATGCCAAATTGTGACAATTATGCCACAATCATTTCTGTGAGTTTTAAGAATCAGGAATCAGGCGCACCCCTAAAAAGCTGTGCCTTAGGCTTAAGCAGCTTTGTAGTATCTGGTTTGGGTCGTGTGATGCTACACACAGAAAGCAGCCCCAACATGCAGAGTCTCGCTATCTATAACAGATGCTACAAATTTGCTCTGCACAATGCACAGATCCTGTTGTGCAAGGCGATGGGAAGACTAGAGCACTGAATTCAATGCTGCCCCCTTTTCACAGGGAAGGATCAGGAGAGAGCAATTCCCATCCTGCTCTGACCGCTCAAAGGCGTGCAGTGAGGGGAGACCTGAGGAGATACAGTCACTCTATGCAGTGTGCACCAGTGAGAGAGAGATTACAAAGGCACCCTTATCTTTGCTACTGGCTCTCAGTAGGACTTACTGGCTTCAGCCAAACCCCACTGCTTCTGGTATATATCTCCAATGACTCATCCTTTTCTAATATCAAATCTCAACATTTCAGCTTAATTTACAACAAAATACTTCTTATCCTAGCCCCAAGGGATGTGATAAAAATTGTACATAATTTCATCTTTTTCCCTCTTACAGCCACTTTTCTTCTTGTCATGGCTTGTGTAAACACTCTCTGCTCCCCTTCTCTTTCCTAGACTAAACAAATCTGATGGTTTCAGTCTCTCCTCATTGGTCAGGGTTGTGATTTTTTAAAACCACCTCATTCCTGATGTGCTATTCTGGGTTCTCTGTGATTAAGCAGTGCTGCCCGCAGCCAAATGCAGTGCTGCCACAGAGGCCTCTGGGGTGCCATGCAGAGCCAGGGTATCAACTTCTTGTGTTTCGCATTCCTCACTACCGGTAATACACTGCAGAATGGCATTTGCCTTTTTTGCAGCAGCATTACATGGTTGACTTGCATGTAGTGAGTAGTCCGCATTAACCCTTAGTTCCTTCTACAAAGCAGTTCCCTAGTCAGTTATTTTCCTTTGTGATTACATTCATCTGATCCTTTATAAGCATAATACTTACAGTTATCTGAATTCAATCTTACTGATTTAGGAGTTTGTTTTTCCTGTGCCTGGGAACAACAGAGTATCTTAGAGGCACATAACTTTCAAGCCATGGGTTAGGTATCATTGACCTGAGCTACATTTTCTTTAAAAAACCCATGTTTTCCTGCCACTCACTTATCTCCAGATAGCCATGATATTTGGTTTGTTTTCTTGTTAGTATTGCCTACGTCAAACTAATTCCTAATTTGTCAGTGGACTTGTATTTATGAGGTCATCCCCTGGGGCATTCATTTCTACCCCATCCCATCTCTCCAAAGTTGTTTTGTTACTCTTGTGTCTAGTACCAGTCAAGAGCTACAGTTACTTGCATTTTATATAATGGATAGTTTTGAATTCCTGTGTTTATGTGTTACATATGTTGGAGGATAGAGAGGACTCATACCATGTAGCTTTCGTCCCTCAGTGGCAGATGTGAGACACAATTTCCTTCCTGTTTTCAGGTAACTAGAATTATCCAGAAGCTTCTTAGCATGGAGCAGGAAACTGCAGAGACTTCCTGAGCCTCAGGGGTTCGGACCTCAGGAGGAGGTCTGTTTTTCTCAAGTGATGGCTGTATAACAAAGAGGGTTACTTATGTTGTTCCATGTACATGGCTGTGTGCATATATAATTCCCTGGGAATGTAACCATTTTGACAAAATATTTTGGAAAGGCTCCTCATATTCAGTACAGAATCTGTGGTTAAAAGCAAAGAGAAAGACAAAGACTGTATCCCAGAATAGAAAATAGCACACACATTTTCTATACATATAGATGAAATGATTCCATAACTCACTTATGATATCATATTAAACACCAGTCAGAAGTACATGAATATTGAAGTACTTTCTACCCTAATCTAACTCTGATATTCTAAATATTTTATTCATTTTCTTATCTTCTGTTCCAGATTCCAATAACTGTGAAAAGGAACATTTTGAAATGGATATGAAAAGCAATCCGAATGTCAGGTAACAGAGTATTTTTTTATACAAAAGCACTGGCCATGAAATTTTATGCATGTATTTAGAAAATTTGTAATACTTAATGGAGAACTTAAAAAGAATGCAAGATTCTTTACAGATAATAATTCTGAAAGTTGTAAAGTATTCTCTTAAACTTGAAAACAACAATTTAAAAGAAGTGGTGAGTTCATGTATTTTTGTTATTCTGTGTAATTTTCTAGAATGAATAAATATTTGCGAACTTATCTCACTTGAACAGTTAGAAACTGTTTAACCCCAATTAAACCTAAAAAATATAATCAGAACAGGTTTAACATTATCTCAACAATTTTATAAAATTTTGTTTTCAGCTACTGCTGTGATATTTCAAAGTAAAGTTGATGATGTGCTGTGTTCCTGCTTGAAGCCAGCCACCCTGAAAAGTATCAAGCATGACTTAAATTGGAATAATTAAAAATATATGAAGCAGGACAAAGTTTTATCACAGAAGTTAGTAATGCATTTACACATATGATTAATTTAAAGTGACTGCATTCACATTTCTTAAAAATTGGCGTGTGAAAAAACATCCAGACTTTCAGCGTTTAGCCCGCAGAGTCACAGTTACAAAGGAGAAGGAGCACAAACAATAGTGCAGGAAAAATGTTGAAACTGACTAGGGAGGAGAATTTTGTGGGATCTGACTGAATGTAACTGTGTGTCATTTTGATTGTAGAACTGGCCCTAAGGAGCAGAAGATCCCCTATGTGCGACTGGAACGTCTGAAAATATGTACATCAGAAGCAGGGGAGCTCCCGGTGTTTAAGCTCCACCCACAGGACAATGAGCAGGAGGGCGATTTCCTTCTGCTAATTGAATGTGGGACCCAGTCTTCAAGTATGTCTATACAGGTGAGTGGAATTTCCTTGAGACTTTATCTGCTTTCTCCTCTTTATCCCACTGGCTTGTACCCACAGTTTCTGAAAGTTATTATACATTAAACAAGTCTGTTGATTCATTTCACTCTCGGACAATTCTGTGACGGGTTGAAGTAATAGAAAATGCAGCTTCTAGTTCACTGTGTAGCTCCCTGATACTTCCATTTCTGAGAGGTCTGTCTCTGGGATTGGATAGCTGTAGTGTTTTTATGTTCTAGCAGACAACCTGGCTTGTCTGTCTAGTTACAAATATAGGATAAATAGCTTAAAACTGACCCGAATGCATATTTGAGTGATAGGAACCAATTCCAGAAATCACAGGGAACAAAAAACTCTTTTTTTTTTTTTTGACCTGTTTAATGTAAAATTTGCAAATAAGATCGTAAAGTATCCTGTTTCTGTCATCTGTGATGTGAAATCTGTACAGCTCTCTCACAGTCCTATCACATTGTGGTATGTGGAGGAAATGACTTGACCAAGGTGGTCTGGCCAGCCAGTAGCAGATGTTGAGCTGAGCGTGGGCCTGCTGAGTGCCCTCTCCAGTAGAGTTGACTGCAGAGAAACCGTTTTGTCTGCAGATAACCATTGCTGTTATATGCTTCTATATGAAAATGACGATTCAGTGATCCCAGATTTTTCTTCCTTCAAGATAAATAAAGATAGTCCACCTGAAGGACTGAAATCCAAAGAGAAGAACTCAGAGGACAGAAAGGTTCTCATATCCCAGGCTGCAGGACAGACACGATCTCCTCCTGTAGATACTCCGTTTGTTGATCAGAAGCTCAGCAATGGCAGCTCTATCATGAAAAAATCTCCAAGTACTCAGGAAGTCAATCCAATTGAAAATGAGGATTTCTGTGCTGTGTGTCTTAATGGAGGAGAACTATTGTGCTGTGATCACTGCCCCAAGGTCTTCCATCTCTCCTGCCATGTTCCAGCCCTGCTCAGCTTTCCAGTGTGAGTATATATGACATTTCGCTAACGTGCTCAATTTCTGCGCACTGCCTTGGGGCAGAATATATCCTCAGGGATGTATGTGTCAACCTTACACAAGGGCAAGGACTGCATCTCTCACTTTTTTGTTACTTTTCTTGCAAAGGAAAGAATTGTCTTACACACTAGGAACTAGATCAATTATTCACAAGAACTGTTTCCAGCCATGTATGCCCTTTCTACAGTTAGCTGGCCAGTACGACAAAGGTGGCGGCAAACCTGAGCTTTAAAAACATTCTTATGACTTAGTGGAGAAAAATAAAAAAACGTCCCTTAACTGAATTTGTGTATTCATAGTTCTTTAATATACCTTCACCTATAGTTATTCAGGCCCTGATGTTGCAGAATTGCCTCACTGCCTTCATGAAATTCTTCAAGAGCTTTCTGAAAATGGATCTACTAGGAGAGACACTTATGCCCATGCAGAATTGTGTCTGTTTGGTTTAAGAACCTGTGTACTAGCAAACATTATGACCTTTTCTGATATTGTTGATTTCTTAGATAAATATGTCAATTATCATATCAATTGATAATAAATATATCAATTATCAAATGGATCAAAAGGTTTTGTCTTGTGACTCAACTGTTGGCTATTTTTCCTTAATACCTTTTTTCAAAAACAGCGCTTGAATTAATGCAGCTGCACACACTGCTGGTACATGATTTCACACACTTACTATTTTGTCTGTTTCTCTGTGACAGAAAAAGTGCAATGAGTAGAATCTAAAATGATTACACTTTTAATTAGATTCGAATCTCTTGAAGAACATCTAGTACCGTGGGCTTCAGATTGCCTGCTATTGTAATACCAGTTCAGGATGAGACTTGTTTCCAAATACAGTGGTCTCCGAGGTTATTTGGCAAGGTTGCTGACATAATTTGACACAAGTTTTTGGTTTCTTGTTTTGCAGGGGAGAATGGGTGTGCACGCTTTGCCGTAATCCAGTGAAGCCGGAGGTAGAATATGACTGTGAAAACAGACGCTACAGCCACAGCTATAATGCACGATGTGGCCTTGATGACTATGACCAGAAGGTGGGAATAACTATAAATTGTACTATTTAGAAAAGGATATATGGTCTCAGCATGAGGCTCTGCCTTTTCATTGGAAAGATGACTGTTTTGACTTGGTTGCTCCTTGGATGTTTCAGAGAGTAGTAAATACAACAAAAGCATTGTTAGTATTTAGTTATATCATTCTTTTCTATCGAGGCATTGCTGTTCAATTTTAAAATTAATGGCATGTTATAGAAACATGAAACAGGCAAATCTGGTATTCCTTTCTCCTTTGAACACAGAAGTCACACTCGGCAGCAGAGCAAGCTTCCCTGAATCAACTTTGCCTGGCTTTCTGCCACTAAATCTCTTTTCTTTAGGACTTGGCACCTTCTCAGACATCTGCTTAGGCCAATTGGAATGACATTTTTGTGATGTAGAGACTTTTTGACTTTCAGTTGGATTGAAATCATCATACAGTCTTCTTATGTACCATTAATCCCCTTGAAGATGACATTTAGGCACTGTTAACTCAGCCTAGATGAAAGCTTATCTCTTTACATCTCCATTACCAGTTTCCTCTACCAAATCTCCCATGAAAAAATTGCCTTTTCCTAAAGTCCATTTGGTACTTGGAAGCCACAAGTTCCACATAAATGTCCTGCTTATATTGGTGACAGCTGGACAGGGAGGCCAAGTCCACACTGCTGAGTGCAGATGCTGAGCTGGCTCTGCACAAATGAAGCCTAGAGCAAGGCAGTGGTCTAGTCTGGGCACCCTACATAAAGACAACAGCAGTGGTCCTCAGAGCACTGGGGCCCCTTGGCAAGGCCTGTGAGCATAGCCACAGCACTGCTCAGATTCATGTATGCTGTTTCCAGACCTGAGCTACTCTGTCCATAAAGAGCTGGACATAACTTCTTGATGTTGATGTGATCCCTATTTCTATCGGATTGGGTGCAACTGGCCAGAAATAGTTGGGATCTGAGTCTTGATTAGTGAGGTTCTATTTAGAAAATGGATTTGATTAGAAATTTCATTGCTTGTGAGCAAACATGGCTTATAATGTTTATGTATTGGTTTTTTTTTTAATCAGTGAAAAAAACAGAGTAGTATAAGTATTTTACAAGTTCATGATGATTAAACAGAACTGTTTTCATACAGTACTACCAACTACATAACTTAATCCATTTGTATGAATGGGTATGAACAGTGCTGCTGCTGTTCTTTTAGTCAAGAGCCAAGGAATAGATATGGAGTGCAGAAGGGAAATACTGATAGTGATGAATTCCCAAGAGTTTCCGGGAAAGATACATGCATACAAAAATTTTTATGTAGTGTTTCGTCTCTTGCATTTCTTGACTATCCTCACTTTCAAAACTATAAAAATGCTATGAGGCAAAACGTCCCCCAGGTTAGAGTGAAGTGTGCTGTTTTGTGTCAGAAATGCACACACTACATGAAAAATCCCCTTGTTATTAGTATGATTCATTAACTAAGGGCAAGAATGAAACTCACTTGTTTTGAATTAAAATGTGTTTCAAATTTGGCTCCTACAGAAGTGTGAAAAGCTGCTGCTTTCCTTGTTCTGCAGTAGTATGAGCCTCCCGTTCCATGAACCTGTCAGCCCCCTGGTAAGTAGAGCACAGGCCTGGGTCAGAGGAAATCCAAAGAATACTCTGCCACACCTTGGGAGTTTCTCCTTTGTCTTCTTGAAAGATATTCATTAGCTTTTTTTCTGAACAGTATTGTGTCCTAGGGAAGGACAGGTATTTCCCTCTTGCAAGTGCTTTGAAGGTGCCAGGTCAGAGGCAGGTAAATGCTGGCCAATGTTCTCAGGCCAGGTTTGGGTGCCAGTTTAAGATGCTGGTAGGATACTGAAAGTGTATGAGGGGTTCCAGTGATTAAGAAAGCTGCCTTGCTGCATACGTGGAGAATGTTGCACTGCCATAAGAGAAGTCTGCTTTAGAAATAACCCTGGACTCCCACTTTTCTGGTCTTTTGCACAAAAGTGGTAATATCATGGTGTTCAGGGGAAGATGTAGACGCTGCTGTTTCATCCATGTCCTCAACATTTGCAACATTAAGTGGCTATTTTAAGGAAGATGTAGATTCATGCTATTGTGACAATAGAACACAATGTGAAAAAAGTTGGAGGAGGAAAATGAGAGAAAGAAAAAACAGGTTTTATGTGAAGGAATAGTCCAAATAACAACATAAAAAAAATTCCACCTAATAAAGCTTGCAATGAACTTACGGAACACATTACCTAACAAGTAAATTTTGACCCAGAAAGATTTAAGGAGTGGGATATCCTAGTAGCCGGTGCCCATTGAAAAAGACTTCTGTTGAACTTAAAAAAAAGTACATAGTAGCATATTTTTAGTCACTCTTGGCAGACTATTTCCCACAGTATCAGTTGCTAGTATCTCAGCACATTATTTTTATAACTTCTTGGGGGAAATGTTAGCTAATTGTCAATATTACATATATTATTAATATTGTTTAAAGACAACATTTATATCTGGGGATAAAATTTAGAAAGTGCAAATAGCAGAGTAGTAACCGAAGTGTGCTATTTTTCAAGATCAACCTTGCAAGCAAAGATATTTTTAATCAAACCAAAAAGCACCCAGGAAGATGATGTGCAAGTGTAGGCACCAAAACACTTAAGCTCTCTTCCTTAATGCAAGGAATCTGCTGCAGTGACTTCTGTCCAAACTTGGATAGAAGTCACTGGAGAGAAAATGTTTTAGTTAAAAAAGTTACATACCTCTGTTTTATTTATTAATGCAGGCACGGCATTATTATCAGATCATCAAAAGGCCGATGGATTTGTCAATCATACGAAAAAAGCTGCAAAAAAAGGAGAAGTCCCACTATTCTGCACCTGAGGAACTTGTGACTGACGTGCGTCTCATGTTTTGGAACTGTGCAAAGTTCAATTACGTAGGTTTCTAATATGCATGGATGGGGGGATACAAACCAGAGGGTGCTTTTTCAAGCCGTCGCACTGGTGTAACTATTAGTTCCATTGACATCAGATAGAGGATTGGGATAAACAGAAGTATTAATCAGTTTTACTCTTTGGAAATTATTTTTCTTTTAAATGACAGAAGTGGAGATATATATGGATCTAAGAACTTGAGATACATATGGATCTAAAATTAAAGAGAAACATCTTGGCAGACAACTTTTCAGAATGATGCTGAGTTTGCTGTGAGAAGCAAGTCATAGCCAGCAAAATAGCTATGGAAAATTCAGGAGCATAGAAATTCCTAAGCAATGACGACTGCTATTCTTTCTAGTTCACTGCACATCTCTTTTTCTTAGAGGTGCAGAAACATGTTCCTTAATAGCAGCATCTGTTTTTTACTTACATTGTAAATGCAGAGGGACTAATGGGCTGTAGAAAGTGCACAGGAGACTAATGGAGATGTAGCAGACAGAACCAAGGTGAGACATTAGGGTAGGTTACTTATTTGGTTTTGATCCTTGATGATTTCTATGTGCGGCAACACTGAAGGGTTATTTCTTCTCTTGCAGCCAGATTCAGAGGTTGCTGAAGCTGGACGATGCCTAGAGGTATTCTTTGAGGGCAAACTGAAGGAGATTTATCCAGATAGGTATTTTCCTTCAATGCAACATGAAGACTCTGATTCTGAAGAAGTGGAGAGTCAGAATACCAAAATGTCGCCCCAAGATTTTCAGTGGCCATCATATGGACAAGAATGCATTCAGCCTAAAAGGAGACGGCGCCATGCTGTAAGAATGCAAAAGCAAAAGCATTTGGTTGCTAAGTGGCCACCCTGCTAATTCTGTTTACAGCTGCTGATGGGAAGTTTTGACAGGGCTGTGTGGGAAAACTGTCAAGCTTCTATCACAGATATGTGATCAGTTCTACAATTTTATGTCAAGATCCTCTGAGTGGAATAAAGAGTCAGTTGTGTATAAATGTGTGAGCATGAACAAATGAAGTCTCTGAGGCCACACAGTTATCCTCCCAGCAGAAAACTCTGACAAGATTTTAAAAAAGACTAAGCCCTCTAGCTATTCACTGTTTATTTCCTTTGTACACAGGAAAGTGACAAAACTAAGAGAATGATGTTTCAGCCAGCTAACAGCCTTCCTCATGTATGACCTCCTCAAGATACGAGATTTGCTATGAGGAATCCAGCAGCATAACTGACAGAGTTAAGGTGTGTGGGAGGAAAGCAAAGCACTCGGACTGTTTATTTAAACTCTCCTAATCTGCTGACCATATGCCTTATTTCTAGATCTTGTGGATAGATAACAGATCCAAAGTGTCTGAATCTGTCAATATTCAATCTGTTAAATCATATATATGTTTTGCAGTGCTTACACTGAAGTACTAATGTTTTGGTGATAGGTAATGATGATTAATAATAAAAGTAAGATGCTAATAATATCTAATACTGCAGTACCCTTTTTATAATCTGTTCAACGTGACATCTCTATTTTATAGAGCACGGGTAACCATGTAATAATCTTGCAACCTCAGTGTGAATGTTGGCCATGCTTTGTGATAAATACGATATGTAGTCATAGAAGCCGTAATCCTGTTGTCTTATTCAATTATTTTTCTGGGAGCTTGACTGCTCAAGGCCTATGAGATACAGTCTAATGTGATGATCTGATTAGCTGTTTCTTTTGAAGCAAAGCATTTTCATTAAATCACGAAAGAATAAGTGCTAATACTGCAGCTCTGTGTGAGCTGTTTCTGAGTGCGTACTGAGTGCTCTGTTTGCAAGGAGTGATTCTTCCTGTATCTAATTCATGCTTGGTACAGCAGTGTGCGTTTCTTGGGTCTCAAAGGTAGCATTTTTATACAACCCAAGCCAGTTGTTTTTCTTTAAAGCAGATATTGGAATTCAGTAAATTAACTATGAAGCAAATTACATGGTTATAGAACTGCCTATAAAATAACGTCATATATTCCTGATTTTGTCTTTGCTTATTTATGTAGTTGTGATTACCGACAGTGCTAGAAGATGTTGATAATGTGTACATGTAGAAGCTCAAACAGAATGAAAGGATGTCTAAGATTTTTTTTCCCCCCCTAAATTCCACAATGTATTGGCAAAACACCACCAAGGTCCAGAAGAGCAATTTTTAGAGTTCACTTGAAAAAAGGGTAGCATGTAATTGTAAAGCTTGAAGGGTGGGGTAGGTAAAAAGTCATGGCACCTGATCAGAGAGTGATGGTTTGCAAGCTGCTTCCCACCTCTTCCAGAAGCAGGTGAGTGAGATCTTTGTGTGGCCGATGCTTTCTTTGTGTGTGTGAGGGACATCTTCCTCCTTAGAGCTCTGCCCAGCAGTGTAAAGCTGGGCTGTGGTCTGGCTCTGAGAGAAGAGTTGTTGCAGATCTCAAACGCAGTTAAAGTTCATTTTAATTAGGTTCCTGTAAATAAAGATGATATTTTCAGCATAGTTTATATGGGCTATTTGGTCTGGTAACCATGTATGTATTTTAGATAACACTTTAAAGTAAAGGTTTATATATGAAATAATAAGACATGAATGTTATATTCTACTATCTATGTGACTTACTGTTTGCTGTTAACTTGGTAGTGAGCTAATGTTTTCTTTTCTTTGAAGAAATGAAAGTCTGGATATTATAAGCTGACTGGAAAACTGTGAAATGAAGGGACAGCCTCTACATTTTCTATATGTGAATTCCTATGTGTTTGCTTTCTGTCAAACTCCTGTTCTCAAAACAGTAAGTGTCTTGGCGCAGGGAAATGAGTGCAGGTCTGTAACTGAATTAATCAACCTTATCTGTGCTACAGGTATCACCTTTTCTCAGTTGGTAATTAATTCCTCCATCAAAGACCTATCTTTTACCATTAATAGGGCAAAAATGATATGCTGTATAGCCTTCATCTACGGGCAAAGTTAGAAATGAGAGAGACTATTGACGACTTCCTCTTTTCCTGGAAGAGCAGAGTCAACAAGAGCCTGCTTCTATTTCTTAAAGGCTGTAAGTTTAACTGTACCATTAGTTTTGGACAACACCTGTTTTAATAAAATTTATCCAGGGTTTATTACACCTTTATTAAAAATAGAATTGTACTAGTTTGTCATTATATATAAGATACTCTTTGGATGTGTGCTGGCAGGACTCTATGGCCTGAGCACTCTTAAGGCTAACTTTGTTTTTGATTACTTCCCTAAGACACAGTAACAGTTAAAAAAAATACTTGTAAACTTCATGTCATGTTGGTAAACAGAACAAAAACTGAACTATGACTTCACATACCTTCAAACACAAATCTGTGGGCCAACAACTTCAGAATACATTGCATGTTGTAAGAACAACATTATCCATCTTGGATGCTGCCTTGAAATTGCTGGCTCATGATGTTCCTGCTGCTGGACACCATACCACCAGGGCTTGTGTAATTCCTGGGGTGTTTGCTGTGTTGATGTCCAATTGCACACTGGTAACAGCGCTGACAGGTATGAGAGGAAGGGTCTGTCTTTTAAAATCTAACAGCCCACATGGCCCCAGAGAAGTGATAAGTTATGTAGTTACTTTTCCTTCTATCATACAGCCTGTTTCACAATGCAGAATGTGTAGAAAAGGAAGCAAGGAGGAACTCCTGAAGTTTTCCACTGGAAGTAAGTATAGCAGAAACAAATACCAGGAACACTGTGGAAACCCCAGTGAATGAATGCACTAGGCTCCTGCAAATGCAACCAAGGGCACAATTTTTCCTTTTGTTTTTAGTAATGGGTTTCGTGTAGAATGGGAAAATCGTCTTTGTGCTTAAGCAGTTGGAAAAGAGATTAATTACACTTCACTAATAGGTCTGTTGAAGAAGAAATGACAGCTACAAATTTGACTTTCATTCCCCAACAATTTCAAAGACATACTTCCAGTATCATTACAGAAGAATAGCGTTAGAGTTAATACAAACAGGTGTTTAACAATTCAGATTATCGAATGACTGCATGTTTATATGTGTAATGTGTTTTGCTGAACAATAAAATATGTGAAATATGTTTTTCCACATCAATCTGAAATTTTTGCTCTGAGTACATCTGCTTTCAATTAATATATAGATTATACGATATCATTTAACACGTTAGCTAAGTTGTTGATAACTACTGAGGGCAAAGCAGAATGGTTACAAAAGCAGCTGTGCTAACACAGCAGATCAGCTTTCTATTTGTGCTGGAACTTTCAATACCAAGTAGATATTTTGCTTTTTTGTTTTTCAATTAGTGCAAGTTAGTGAGAACCAAACATGCCATGAACAAGAAAAAAAAACAAGTTTGTAGTTTAAATGTATGTATATGTTAAAGTGCCAAGGAAAATACCACTTAATAGTGAGACAAAAAAACTATTGTAGTGTATTTAATCAGAAGGAATCAGAAAAGTTAATCTAAAATTGAAAATGCTAGAAATTGAAGAATTATGGAATAATTTACAAAAAATAGAACAAACCCACTCTATTCGTAAAAAGTCAAGCAGACACTGCAAGTGTTTTTCTATTGTTACTGGTTCCTCTCAGTTTGGTTTATGGGAGTATAAAACTACCAGCAGCAACTTTCTGACCTGGAGGCCTACTGGCTTGAGGGGTAAGGAATCCTTCTTTCAGGGTTACAGCTGTGCTGCTCTTCAGACATAATTAAGAGAGAACTTGTAGATAGAGGTAACTTTTTTATTGTATAAACACGAAAATGTAGAAAAACTTGTGAGCATGCAATTCCTTCAAGTGTGAAAAATAGGCAATAGACTTCAAATACAAATACCAGCTGAGTTTCTCTGACTTCAATTAGATATCAACGAGATAATCTGAGGGAAAATAAAGATAGGCAGTAGTTGTAGGCTAGGGAAGATGCACATCTTTTGAAGCTGTCTTTGTAGATGAGTAGCAAGAAGTGAGAGGTGGAGTGATTGCTTTTTTGAGATATGTTACCCCACTGTCTGTTCCTGTCCTTTAGTAAATGTTTACTAAAGTCCATTTTAGTGTGTAGTTATGTGCATTTTCATGAGAGCATTTAGTAAATTGGTAGCATTTAGTCTACCAAGTAGACTTTTGTAGAAGCTTATATTAGGATATGTAACAGTAGGAACATGGTATTTGGATGGCTTTGTTGTGAAAAGTGTTACTGTGGTGAGAATACTTACTGTGGAGATAAGAAATTGCAATGTTCAAATCTGTCGTGAAATCTAGCTGCACTTGCTTCATTTTCATTCCAAGTGTCAGAAAAGAGGTTCTTGAAAGATACTTTTCAGATAACTTCTTCCTGCATGGGATGTAATTTGTAACAGATTCCGTGTAAATTCTATCTCACAGTGCATTTTCACTGTAGAAAAGTCCTCTTTATGTTAAGGAGATAAGACATGCAATTGTTTTTCCCTGAGCAAATAGGGTAGTGTCCAAAGGTCAGGGAGTATTTTACTGCTTTTGGAGAGTGTTTGAGATGGTTACCAGTTTTACGGAAGTACCAACACTGGTTTATGGTTGTGCTGTGGATGTTAGTTTGTAAGTTACTATTCTTGGTGTTGACTGTAGTGCCTAGGACAATTACATCAGTATGGAAGTGTTCTCAAGGCAGTCTGGTACTGAGGCAATGCTTATTAAATTTGTTGTGAAAGTCAGTGAGGGCATCCAGGTTTCTGGTACAGATGAGAGAGATGTCACTTAGTTATTTTAAGCATAACATAGATACTATGTTCCTAGATGGTCTGTGCTGAGATGATCTCTCTGTCCTTTATTCCAACATTTCTCACTTACCTGATGCACCTGATTGCTTGCCACACTAGAATGACTTTTTGACAATGTTTCTCATTAACAGTTGTGAGTTCACTTTAGATGAAAAAAACCAAAAACCAACAACTCTGTTTTTATACACTGGCATTTGGGCAGGAAATGAAACATACTTGAACATTTTTCCTTGTTTGCTTATTAGCCTGCTCTTGCTTCTGATGAAGTTGGTAAGAGAAGGAATGGTTCTTACATCTCTTACAAATTCAGTACTTGCTCTTATTCCATGATATCCTGCTCCAGGAAAATGTGTTGGTGCTATTTCATTTTTTACGGTGGACTTCCTAGGGTTTCATGACGTAGTGCGGGTATGGGACAAACAGGGAAGGCATGAAT